GAGACGGACGGAGTGCTAGGTGTGGAGAGAGAGAGAGAGAGAGGGAGAGAGAGAGAGAGAGAGAGAGAGAGAGAGAGAGAGAGAGAGAGAGAGAGAGAGAGAGAGTGTGTGTGTGTGTGTGTGTCTGTCTGTCTGCTCCTGCCTCACACACACACACTCTCTCTCCGGAAGAGGGCAGCCCACCGCATTGGTGGGTGTATGGTCACTCGTTTGTGGAGGGTGGCCGACAGATGGATGGAGTGGGTGTGTGATGAGCGAACCCAGTCAGCAACCAGATAGCAACAGACATGATGTTCGCGCGAGTGAGAGAGACGGAGGGAAAGCACACTCTTTGGCGTGTACCTACACTAGTCACATAGTGGGAGCGAGAGTGAGAGTACCTACCTAGGTAGCAGACGGAGAGAGATCATGAAGCCAAGGCAAGATATCTCTCCTCTTTTCCTTGCTTCCCTGGATTCCGGGCCCTTGACAATGCATGTCTGCTACACGCTGCTTGTCCCTGTCGTGGTCCTTGTTCCCTCCTAGACAACGGGAGATGAATGCCCTCGGGCATCTTGTCGGTGTGTCCTGCCATGATGGATTGACCCAGCCATGGGCGAGGACCGGGTCGGCATGGCAGAACGAGGGACAGGTAGACGGCGCCGTAGAACGATTCCTTGGAACAAGACACGGGTAAACCAAGGGGCGCGGGTAGGCAGAGGATAGGAGCATTGAGCATTGAGCAGGGATTCTGTTTGGCATTAGACCGCCTCGAACTATCTCGTCACGGACTCTATCAACTCGATAGCGCTCGCCGTCGTCCCGCGGTATGTGCGTGTGTCTGTGTTTTTGGTACGCAAGGGAGGCAGGCATGGCAGGCCAAGGTACCGTTCAGCTTGCTAAAGTAGGCGAGGTACGCCGAGGCCGAAGAGGCTTGTAGTACATACAGCAGGAAGCGCTGCGGGGCTTACACTACGGTGTGTTTGGGGGCCTTGATAGTACCTAGCAACGGCAAAGCAAGCAGGGAAGGACAGGAAGGTAGGTACGCTGAGGTAAGGAACGAGTTGGAAGGCAGGTACGTAGGAGATGACTACCGTACTCTGTACCTAGTGCTCAGACTCGGAGAGAGAAACCCAACCCCACGCCCAGTCGATGCGCTCCGACTGGATTCTCTGTGCGCTCAGTCGGTCAGTCCTGTGGCTCTCCTCTGTTCCAGAAAAGCATGGCCGGGTATGCGGGTGTCAAGCTGGGTACGACAGGCTTCGGCCGGCGAATGAGGTCAGTGGTGAAAAGTGAGGACGACATTCTCGACGTTCAGGTCGTGACCTCGATGCGCCGGGTTCAGATGGACGGGGATCTTGCCGGAAGACACAGGCGAGCGGGGAGGGTCAGTCGAGACGAGACGGTTCGGCCGCAAGCCGGAACCGACCAATGGAGAACGGGAGCAAAATTTGGAGGGGAAAGAACAAGAGGATTTTTGGACGGGAAAAAAACTTTTGGCCAAAAAAGTCACCCCCCCACAAGATGGAAGGGGGAGAGGCAGTCAGGCTTGGTGAACGTAAATGGAATGGCGGTCACGGTCACGGTCACGGTCACGGTCAGACGGTGGGGGTTGGGTTCGCAGCTCAGACCAAGGCCCGTTCGGCATATCGTTGATCAGAGAGGGCTGGAACAGGGAAGGTGGTGGCATGAGACGGAGGGTTTGACAGATGAGATATGATACGGTAAGCCATAAAGCCACCGTTATTGGAGACGGAACCATCACCGTTTAACGCCTCATATCATAGGGCTCAACTACCGATGGAACGTCTGATTGGAGCACCGGTACGGGCTGTAGGTAGGTAGGTAGTGCCTAGTACTCCGTCCGTGAACCAGGGTGTACTGCTCCCAGCAGCCCGACACTGGCGACTGAACTGGGTGAGAATGACGTGCCTACGTATCTTGACGGGCGAAGCCGTTGTAATGACCAAAAACGGAAGGAAAGATGGGAAGACACGAGGTGAGATGGGCCGTGAGTGGTTGTGAGCGACGGGCTTCAAGGGTCCTGGGGAGGAAACAACATGACCTTGCATCCACTGGACGAGACGGCGAGACGACGCGACGGCGAGACTGGGCCGGCAGCTCTCTCTCCAACAGGTTGGGCATCGACGGCCGTTCCCTCTCCCGCGATAGGCTCACTGCCCGTTGTTGATACCCAAAGCCCAAGACGTGACCCCTTCAGAAAGCCCAGTGCAGCCCTCCTGCATCCATTGACAAGCCACTGTTTCTCGTCTCGCTGTTCCTATTGCTCAGCGCTCAGTGGGGTGATCACACGGGTCTACAGATAGACAATGGCTACAGGCCAACGGCGGTACGAATATCTAAGTTTAGGATGGGTGGGATCTGGCTGCTGCTTACTTCAGCCGCCGCGGGCGACACGGCCAGTACGTATCGGCTTCCTTTGGGGGGCATGATGCTATCGATTGATTGTCATGCTTGGCTCTCCTTCCGTATCATCGTAGCCAAACCAGACAATGAGGCAAGCCATGACAAAGGCGGAGCATGGCGGGCAGCCCACACCTGTCAGTGCGATAGCGCGCATCCTGTTTCTCCGTTGACGATAGGTACGGCCGGCCAGTGGCTCGAGCACCTCCTTTGGGCTCCAAGATACCTAGATAGGTACGGCATGACGAGTCCCCATTCAGAGTCGCATCGTCCAATGTTCCCAATCATCTGGTCAACCACACCACTCAACCGCACGGTTGGAGAGGTCCAGGAGGACGAGCACGACGACAATGCCCCCGATCCGATCGATCCCTTCGTCGGGCTTGGCTGGGAAATGCCGTGGAAAATTTTCTTCTCATCAGACTCGGACGCCCCGTTTGTTCTCCCGATCCCGCGAGACGCAATGCGCAATCGGCCAACCTCGTCTACTGTAAGTCGGGATCATGCTCGTACCCTCGGGCTATCGCTCTCAGCCACATCCCTGATACACCGAAAGCCACCCATCGCCTACACCTCGGACGCCTTGGCCGACGGGCTCAAAGTCAATTCCAACATCGGGCGACACCATGAGGGGGCGGCAAGCAAGCAAGGAAAGAAGAGTAAAGGGGCGAGAAAAAGACGGTGGCTGGGAAACCAACATCCGGAACCACCCTCCCACCAAATCCAAGGCCGCCGGTGATGCCCAAGCACGAGTGTCGACAGCGGCCAGCCACTCAGCCTCGAGAGACGCGTGAGCCCCAACTCCACTGTGCTTCATGGCCGCATACAGAGCGGCCCGTCACCAGCTTGAAGACCCTCATTCTGCTTTGTCGGTGTGCCGTGGTGCTTGTTTCGGGCCTCGTCGCCCAGAGCAAGTGCGCGCGGTATGAGCAAGTATCTCGACGCCCCCGGTGCCGTATCAGAGGTACCTTGGTCATCACCTCGGCTGACCTCCCCGTCGCTCGAACCGAGGCGACGAGGCCAACTGGGAGGCCATCGTGTGTTTGGTCAGTAGGCCATGACTGATTCATCACACGCGTTTTCGCGTGTTGCAGCGCGCCAGACGACCTGGGACTAGGTAGGCCAACGAGAAGGAGAGAGGGGAAGGTCCCCACGCCGTGCTGCAGGATCTCGCCGCGTCAGAGAGATCCATCAACGACGACGTGAATCATGCGCGACTCCACCGACGTGCCCCCGGACCACACACGGTGGTGAAGATGCAAAGTCGGGATGCCGGAATCTCAGACTTCTCCCGCTGACACTCGCACCTTCCCACGCTGCCCTGCCCGCGTTTCTCGCACCAATCCGGTAAGTAGACCCGCCTCCTCAGCTTCTGGAAAAACTCGGCCACCGCAAAAGCCGGAAGGAAGGAAAATACCTAGCCAGGTACTTACCTACCCGGGTACCTAGGTATGGAAGGTGGGAAGGCACGCTAGGAAGGGGGAGGGGGGAGCGTGACGGCGCCGTTTGAAAAGTGGGTACATGTCTAAAAGTGACCCGCTAATGGACCTGCGCGGTCCCCGTCGCGAGCCAATCGTCCAAGTGAGGCGAGCGAACGAGCTTTGCTACAGGACAGGAACGGGTTGGAACCTGCAACATGCACTTGCATTGTCGATTGCTGTGAATCCTATCCTTGGGTCCCTTCCTGTGGAAGCCACCGTTTCTTCACCTTTCCCAGCATCTCGTCTGCCAAGCCAGGCCGAACCGCCCGTGGCCGTATCGATTCCTAGGTAGCTACACACCTATTCTAGGCTCTTACCAATAGGTCCTGTGAGAGCGTCATCCACACACTACACGTGTCTGACCTTACTTCCGCCGCGCCCGAAGTACCTACCTGCCTCCCTTACCCTCCTACCTAGGCCAGGCCGAGGCCAGCAGTCCTGTGAGAGCTTGCTTCATGTAACACCCAATACGTCGTCGTCCCGTCTTGTTTTCTCTCACGCGTTCCTGGCGACGGAGCCCAACCCAACCTGTGGCCTAGACCTGGCCAACTTCGGCCAACGACCCTTAATTTGAGTAACTTGATTCCGCAGCCGCAGCTTCAGACCGCCAATCCTGCTGTTGGATCGGCGTCATTGACACAGAGTACGACAGGAACACGCCTCTCTCTGGGTCTCGCTCCGATACGCCCAAGACCTCTAAGCCGGCGCTTGTTGCGCCGGCTGGCTCATCCACACGGATGTCTCCCCTTCCTCTTCAACAATGATCACGTTGCCTCATCGTACTTCTCATGCGCCTTGCATGAACTAGAGGCCTCGCCATGGCGTGTCTGGGCCTTCATCACCCCGTATTTCGTCTTCGACCGCCTTGTCCTGCTCCGCCTGACAAGGCCCTATTCTCGGAAGGGGCGCGGCTGACCTCAATATCGTACCCAACCGCATGTTGTTGCCCAATCCGACGACCAGATCGAGATTGCATCATACTCGACGGCAGAAGAGCCATGGGAGCTCGTTGTTTGCCGTCCGACATCCGGCTCTCTGCGGAGAGGCGCTCCAAATAACGAAGGAACAGCAATTCGACTGACTCAACGCCTCTTTCATGCTTCTGGTTCATGCTTCTTATCGTTATCGGCAGTTGCGCCAGGCTTCGAATTGTCTTTGCATGGCCTTTAGTTAATCAATTCACTCGGCCTCTTGAGACACCCATAGCCCAAGTCTTCGCAGACAGCTCAGTCAGTCCGGTCATCCGACAATTACCATTCCTTGGTCTCTTTTGTCGAAAATCATCCAATTTCCAACAAGGTCCACGGCTGATGATGAAAAGCAATATCTCGTTCAGCCACTCCTGGGACGGATTCCCGACAGGGCTGACCCCAGCGGGGCATCTGAACTTCAGAACACCCCTGCTCCCTGAATTATCTATCGGTTTACGGAGTAGATCCAAGACTGCTCTCTTCGACTTTAGCATCCCGGTGAGGATCCCCGGTCTCATTTGACCTCGCGAGTGAAGGGCTCCTGGTTCATTGAGGCGCCCGACATTACGGACTAGCAATACGATCGATGATCGAAGAGGGTGAAGGGACCGATCACCATCGCCCAAATTTCTTTCTTCCCTTGACTCACAGTCATAGCCTTCGTTGCCGTCAATTTTTGTCGGTGAGCCCCCCACCGGTAGCTCAAGCTTCGCGTCCCCGGTGTCCACTCCGGAACTACTTCCAGAGTCTCTCTCTCTCCCTTGCTCGTCCAGCTTGGAAGTCGGAGATTGACAATCAAGCGATGGATCCGAACCCCCGCCACTTGCCATGATGCGCGATGCCGCGATCCACAGCTTCCGTTTCACTCTTCCGACGTCATCCAGAGCCCTGGGACCGTCTGGGTCTCTATGGACTGCTTCTCCGCGATGAAAAAGAAAACAAAGAACTGGGTCAATATGCGCACGGTGTCATCGTCGCGTCGATGGATATTCATCGGGAGCAATGTCCCGGAAGAAAAGTCTTTAGAGCTTGGATCATTCGATTCCAGATTCCATTCATGCACACGCCCAGGATTCCCGCTCTGTCGCAAACGACTGAGACTGGTGGGTTCCAAGAGTTGCCCGGAACCTCTCCCCGTCCACAAAACCGACGCCTCCGTGGCGGTGAACAGAGGCCGTGCAGGTGGCCAACCCACGAACGGCTATCATCCCGCGTCGATGGAAGTCTTCGGAAGCAAAAACCACTTCGTCTCCAGAGCAATGACTCTTTAGGGAAAATGAAATTTCTGCGCTCCGCGTCGCCGCGCTGGAGGCCAGTCGCTTCGTCCTATCAATTATCGCGATGTCGTCAAGAGTAGGAACCGCGGTCTCCGCCGAAAGGATCTTGTCACTCAGCCACTAAAGCCACTCGTCACTTCTCACCAACCTCCACACACAAGCAGAAACCTTGTAGTGCATCGCAGAATGCCCGCCTGCGCATCCGTTTTCGTGGCCCCCAAGAACGAACCTGGTCAATCAGCGAGAGCCTGTGCGTGCGTGCTTCGACAATCCGACGTTTACTAGCACCTCGGCACATCTGCAGACTGCAGCTGCAGGGCAACGCCGTGTGCGCGTTGCAGAGCCGTTGCGACGTACAATCGAGCCATCGCAGCGTCCATTGACGGACCCGTGTTGAAGAGCGTTAACACTTCCTTCGCCAAAGTAAACCCGGGATCCGTCATCTTTCCGATCCCAACCCGCTACCCTAACTGCTGGTCGTGGGCGGTACATGGTATCAGTAACAGGGAACTGGGATCTGGCTTTAGGGTTCTTGTCCCGAATGTCGACATTCCGTTCGGCAAACAAACTCGACCAGCCACTGCCATCGTCTTCTAGCCCCGATCAGCCCGTTGGTTTCTCTTTCGACATTCAAGAGTTGACTCATCGCCCCCTGCCCGAAGGGTTGGGCATGGCTGCTTCTCCGTGTCCCACTTTTCTGTCCATTCGTGCCTAGCAGACGACTCATATTCCACGTACTCCCGGGTTGGCGGTGAAGCTCCTTTCGACTCCCTCTCCGACCTGCATTACCTGATTCGGACCCCTTGCTGCTTCATAGATTTTCCTGGGTTGTTGAGCCTATAAACAGATTGGTTGCTTTTGGTCTTGCCCCGGGGGGACGGCAAGGGAGCCACTCGTCTGGATGCTGGACGGAGTATTCTGAAACAGAGCTTGTTGCTAGGCCGCAGACGTAAACACGCGGGTAGAAGCTCCCGAAATGAAACACCCTTGATTCATCGACATTCACGAGCTGCAGTTACGAGAGATGACAACGATGCTTACACGCCCAGAGGAGAGGGAGATATCCACTAGTCGTACGACTAAGACTATACGATGTCACGGGCACACCTTGCCCCTTTGTCCCGAGGTGAGGCGGTCGACGATTTGCTATAATTACAGATAGCTGAAAAGCTACACGGGGAAGTCCGGTGCTTGGCGTAATAGCCGGCTGCCGAATGCTGATCCCGCCTTTTTCTTTTCGACCTTGTCGCGATAGCCGTGGATTTTCAGAACGGAAGTAAGGAGGGGCCAGACGGTTGTGTTTCGAGTTGATAGACGTTCAACTGTTCAAACTGATGTGTCATAGGGGGTGTGAAGAAATGTGTGATAATATGGGTTTAATACCCTTTAGGAGAGAGGCCGAAGGGTGTTGACGAGGGCCTCACAGTCAGGTATGACTGGCCTGTCCCAGACTAGCTTAACCCCTCGTCCTTAGACATCGACGAACTTTGCGTATGGCGATTTTGTTTCTCTAATGAGAATTTCTTGGTCCGCTTGGCACACGTACAGGGCTGATTCGGCGCACTACTCGTGCCTGTTGTTTCGTGACGAAGAAGTTTTGCTCCTCGTGGTCGGCCGTCGGATACGGCCTTGTTCGGGAGAGGCACGCTAAGCTCAGTGTCATTGTGTCAGGTTCTCCAAGGTGTGCTTATCGACGAGAGAGGCGGGGTTTTCTAACGTCAGAGCGAGAGATTTGACTGTGTTCCGTGAAGGCTTCAATGTGCGCCTTCTAGTCCTGCTCCAGCTTCATCCCCTTCCCGCACCTCCTCCTTTTTCTTTACTTTTTTTTTTTTTTTTTTTACTTCTTCAACAGGCCTATACTCTAGACCGGGAGCCGGAGTTCGTAATTGACGGCCACTGTGCGGCATGAGGAGCATAGTCAGGTAGTTCTTGCTCTGGCCTTTCCTCGGTGTCCGTCATCTCAAAACCGGGTCATTGTATATGGAATTTGGTGACTCATAGCGCCATCCTTCAACAACCACAAGGGCTACAGAGTCTCGGTCACTATTTTTTTTTTCCCCTTCGCCCAAAAAGCTTTGACACCATCAGCCCGGATATTCCTCTTTATGAGGTCGGTTGTGCTGATCATTGTCTGTGTCCGTATGTGTCTGTGTGGCGAGAGCTTTCGCCGAGGATCTATCCCGGGCTTCCATCTCTCGACTACCCCGGGGGAGGGGGCTTTCCTGGCATCGGAAACCTACGTCTAGTCGGGATCGTTCCAAGAACGCCACTTGGGCTTTGATTACGATCCCGGAGATCCAAGTTATTGCGGCCGTAGGAAGTTGTGAGCGTATATACCATCTCTGAAGTAGCCGCAAATGTTGGCGAAGAGTACTGTACCAAGTAAACAACCTGTCACTCGATCCGTGCGGTTTCATGGCATTTGGGCAGAGTGGCTAGTCAGCAATGCGTCGTTAAGCAGGCGGAATCCTGTGAACTTTGATATCGAAGGCATCTGCCGCTGATACCCATCGGCCTAGGGGTGGGGGGTTAAATCTTCAAGAGGGATGGATAGCATACAGGCAACCCAGCCCTAGTCCTCGCGAGATGCCTCAGTCAAATGCCCAACTGAAAGCCTTATCCACACGCAGGCCTCGAATCAACAGGAGGTTCCCTGGCTTGATGGATCAGGTCAGACCACACAAGAGTGGTTCGAATGTCGCTTCTGTCTCTCCATAACCCCCCTCTCTCCTTCTCTCTCTCTACCTGCGCCCCGGGCCGAATCCCGATACTTACAGTTCGATACACAAGCAAGTATAAAGTTTAGAAGTTTTCGTCTCTTTCATAAACTAGGCAGTTTTCAATCATGCAAGATCTAGACGATGAAGTCTGTCCGAGGGTGAAACTGGCCAACTTCAAGTTCTTCGTTGATATTATCGTTGAATCCATTTCATGGCCACGCCTAGGTGCCCTGACCAACACGCAGCCATGTTTACTGTATGAGCCAAGAAAATTCAATGGTAATAGCGTTGCGAGCTCGTCCTCGATACAACTCCCTGTCCACAGACCAGCCCTCCTATATGCCATGGTATGCTTTCTGGTCCGACATTTTCATCGTAATTTTCTAGATACATTTCGTGGTTCTCGCCGTGATGGCGTCTTCAAGGACGATGGTAGTCTCCGTAAAAGCTCTCTTGAACCTCTCGAAACCTCGGTGGCTGTTTCACGGCTCTGTATGCGTCCGTTTCTTCTTGATCGCTCAGTGGCATTGGCACAAGACCGAACAGACTGATGACCTTGGCTCACTTCCCCTGGTTGTTGGATGACATATATGAAAGGCATTCGGTCCTAGGCAGAGCTCCTGATCTGTAAGAGAAAGGTGATAACAATACGAACAGTATCCAATTTGAGGAAGATGCCGTCTACGGTGGCTGGACTTGGGGAGTTATCAGCAGGCATCTGTTCCGTCAAACCCACACTCGCAGCGACTCTCGGATTGTCTGCTCAATACCAATAAAAGTCGGGTGTTTCTCCCCGGCCAGAACGTCCCGGCCGCTCTATACATGACGGTGACAGCATACGACAAGGCCTACGCAACCTCTGAGCCGACACACGGGAACTCTACTCTGATATCAAGGTTCCCGGGACTATTTGGACTTCGCCCACCAGCCAAGACTCGCCAGGTTCACGGCCGTCCTCGAAATCACATCACTCGACTTTGGACCGCACGACGGGAATGTGGGATTGAGGAATCAAAAGTTCAATATCCCGAGCTCGATATCGAGTTGATATTGCAAGTATCAAGCTGGGTCGCTTCCGAAGGAGCAATGAAAGAGCCGCCAAACCAGCGGCTCAAGCCGAAAGCCCGCGAGAACGTGCCGCATGCGCTGATCTGCGTGCGGGACATGCATGTATGGCGCGTATGCCGCCCGCAACAACTTGCTTCTTTCGGATTTTCCCGGTGCCTTCCCACCTGCATCTCTTTTCATGCGGCTGCAGCTCCAGTTTCCGTGCGGGGAGGGGGGGATGCAGTTGGACGAAGCACATCGAACCCCTCATTCCCGCAGATCATGCCGCGGTGGCCCGGAGAGGGGAAAGGCGGGAGGGGGCAGCACATCGTAGCTCTCCCAAGACGATATAGTGGATGGATCGCACACACTTGAGGGCGGTCGACGTTTGTGACGGCCCCTCGCGTTTCCGGAAGAGTGCAAACTTCGGCACAAGTACTCAGTCTATCATTGAACGCTCTGCATCTGACTACCAAGCGCAAAAAAACAAAAAAAAAAAAAAAAACCAGGGTTGTGACATTGAATCGAATCAGGAAACCTCGACCAAGAAACAGCCGCGCCAAGATGTCCAATTTCCCCAAGCTTATTCCGGCCTTCACGGTCCAAGTGCGTGTCCCCCTCTTTGCCGTCCAAACCTCAGTTCAAATCAGACATTTACTGCTCCCGTTGCCGGACCTCCAAGCTCTCCTCTCCAATACTGCCCAGAGAGGCCCTTCACTTCCCGAACTGACCCCCCATCCCCCAGATCCATCTCGACGTCCCCACCCAAATCGGCGTCGTCGCCGTCGGCAGCTCCCAATTCCACGCGGCCTTCCTCCCGAACACGGGCGTCCTCCGGTCGGAGCCGGACTACCCGATCAAGGTCGACGCCGTCTTCGTCCACGGCGCGGACTACCTCCGCGGCGATCCGGACGGGCGCTACGTCCGGCTTGAGGTGTCGAGCGTCCTCAAGGACAAGCCGACGGGCGCGGCGATCCGCTTCGACTACACGGGGACCATTGACGTCTCCGGGCCGGCCGGGACGGTCCTGAAGGGGTTGCCCGGGGCCAAGACGACGGAGTTTGGCGATGCCTGTGAGTACCCCTCCTGGCCCTGCACAGAGGCAAACAATCACTCCATGGTCAGATACTAACGCGTACATAGTCACGCACGCCAAGTTCGAGACGGGGCACGAGGCGCTCAAGGAAATCCAGAGCAAGGTCTATGTCGGGTCCGGACGGTTCGTCGTCGAGGAGGGGAAGCCGGTTGTGGTCGAATACAAGATCAGCGAGGTGGCGGCCTAGAACATCACACATCACTTGGAATCGAGCCAAACACCGTCTCCTGTTAACTGCGATACTTCTTTTCGTCTACAACCCGCACGTTCTCCACCCCCCGGTTCCCGCTCCTTCTCCCCCAAAGCATTCATGAGAGACGTTGTTCATCCCGTTTGTCTGTGTATGAGAGACTCTTGAGACTTTGTCTGCCTAGCCGTAGTAGCAAACCCGAAACTCCAACATGCAGCCCCTTCCTCTTCTCGGCTGCTGCAAATGCAATGCGTGCGTGGCGTGTTTAAATTCTTTTATTTTATTTTTCTTGTCGTTGTCTTGATCTTGAACTCCGTGCTTCTTTCCATTTCAACGAATTCACAGGCGTCGACGGCGAGGAGATGCATGAGCAGAACGACTGGCGTACCTCCGTAATCAAGAGTTTAGCCTCACGTCTCCAAGAGACAGAGCACTCAGGAATCCGTTTAGCAACGCCGTATACCACTTCGATTCTGCTAGCCGTGCTGTCATGTTTATACAAATATTTAGGAAACACCAGCCAGCTGCATCAGGCGCTCGCCAGCCCTGAGGTTGGCGTACTCGTAGGCCTTCGACTCGGGAGGGAAGGTGCCGTTGGCGGCCCAGAGGTCGATCAAAGGCTGCATGGGCTCCAGCTCGTGGGGCTTAAGCATGTCGAGGGCCGTGGCGGTCAGGATGAAGTGGCTGAAGCAACTGTTGAGTGATTTCTCGAGGTTCAGGTGGTAGAAGGGCTCGACAAAGTGGGCCCAGTAGAGATGAGAGTAGACGCGGAACATCTGGCGAAAGATGGTCTGGCAGACGTCGATGAAGTTCTGGGGGAAGCCGGATCGCTTGCCGATCCAATCGGGCTCGCCAGGGTTCGTGAGCTGCGAGAGAGGCGTCGTGGTGATGGCCGGGTTATGCGCATAGGACACGCCCGATGGGTCGGTCGGGAAGATATTGGTGTCGTCAATCTTGCCTGAGATCCATCTCTGCATAAGAGTCATGTACTCGAAGGCAGGAAGCTCGACCGGTTCCCGGCGACTGTTGAGCCACGTGAAGGAGTGGTTCCTGGGCACCGTTAGACCACAACGAGGCAGGAAGGAGATTCTGGCAACTTACGCTCCGGCGGACATCCGGGGGCAGGTGGTCGCGTTGCAGATGGTCGAGCCATCCTCTTCCTTCTCATGGAGAACACGGACAAAGTTCCAGAGGTTTCTGTAATGCTCAACGACTGCGTATGGTCAGCAGGAAGCGCAACCAGTCACAGAACCGTTACTTACCCTGATGGGCGATCCACTCGCCCTGCTCGACCGTCTTGGGTCTCGCGCTCAGTGTCATAAAGTTGCCCTTGACGATGTGTTTGCCATAGTTGGAGTTGAGCCAGATAGGCATGGGTCGAGGCAGGTGATAGGAGTTGAGGATACTGTCTCCATCGGTCAAGCTGCCCTGGTCATCCATGCCAATGGAGTGGGCGAGAGACGGAGAGTTGGGCAGGGGCGGGACTTTGGGAGCGTTGTTGGTGGACGGCTGGCTTCCGTGGGAAATGGTCGGTGACGTAGGCTGCTGACCAGCGGTGGAAGATGTAGGGGACTTGTTTGAGCCCGGCGGTTTGGCGGCTTGTCCCCGGAAGCGGGCGTTGCTATTCATCAATAACCGATTAGCTGGGAGAATCCTAAAGCCATAACGAAACTCCGAGGCACAGAAAGGAGTTCAGTATGATGGTAGTAGCGACCACTAGGCCGGCTACCGGGAGGTATTAGGATCCAAGGATTTCCCCCCCGTCCATGTTGACAAAACCTGACTCAGGCTAGGCATGGCCTGTAGGCCCAAGGGCTTGTATTGGCAATCAAGGGATGTTTGAGACCCAACTAGGCCACAAGGTGTCTGAGGGTGAAATGACTGGCGAGATTGTGTGCGGTGAGAGTATTGAAGAAGGTCTGCAAAACGGGCGACTGTAAGGCAACCCAGTATCGCTGCGTTTCGCCAGAAAAAAAAAAGACGATGTGGTTTATCAAGAAACTGGACAACAAGCATGGTGAAAGAAAAAGACTGGGTCTGCATAAAAACCCTCCATGGTAAGGTCGGTGGTGCCAAAGACTGTCAGGTAGAGGATGCGTCCACTTGATTGCCGTTGCCTTCGGGAAAGTCGACAAAGCCTGAACTGCCTGCTTGGTTATCCAATTCAGGGGCTCCATTACAGTTCCAGCGAGAGAGAGAGAGAGAGAGAGAGAGCCTTCGTCCTCGCTGTGGCAGTCAGACGCCCAGCAGAGACCTCACCACTCATTAATTGTGGTAACTGCATGTAATGATTCGCTTCCCTGGCTAGCAAATTGCCGACTTTGTCAAATGCAGACGGGCCAGGTCAGGAGCAGCTCGATACTGGTCCCTTAGCCAATTCTTGAGACGAGGAGGCTGCGGATTGTGATGAGGAGGTGTGGTTTTGTGTGTTCGTTTGATGGTAATTGTCACTCGTGACAATCCCATGTTGTTGCCACCTTGCCCTTTCCCCTCCCTGACTGGGCACACCGAAGCATTGGCACAGTCGGCGGCTGCAATGCTGGGTTGCGACAATTGCACCTAGTAGGGTCGAAACAGGTGCCCCTCAAAGATGCGCTTGTTTCCGTACTTGGATCCGATAGTACAGTAGCCAAGGCTGCGGACAGCTGAGATGGCCGACCGAGGACGGTCTGACCTGGCTACAACGAAAGGAGAGCAACTCGACCGAGAAGTGCCACCAAAACCACTAGAATCCGACCCTGTCTTCGTGATCCATGCTTTGGAAATGCCCTCAAGAGTGACAATGCACCCCCCCATGTCTCAGCGGTGACCGGGACGCAGTGCATGAACCAAAGAAGGAACGGGATGGCTGCGGCACTAGCCGAAGACCCGACTTCACAGCTGTCTGCTATGCAGCCAGCATGAATATCGGAGCCTCCATATTTCCATCGTGTAAAGAACAATGGCGGTGAGGAAGAGCAAGAACAAGAAGAAACAATTCGCACAACGAAATGTGGCAAGGAAAATAATGAAAGCAACTCACATTCCTGAGAAGAGGTTCGACATGTTAAGAGGAGGTACCCGCGGTGAGGGGGAATCGGCGGGGGTTATAAGGATGAGGCGACCGGCGCGCCTCCTGGCAAGACTTAAAGAGGCTGGACTATTGGGTTTCAGCTCTGCTGAGTCCGTCTGTTGGTTTGATAATCGAAAAATGGCCGGATATCAATCAAGGAGAGAGGGTTAAGCTGAAAAGGGGCGATTGAAGGTGAGCTTCTTCAGACTACGTTCGCTCCTGCATCCTCGAGGAGTGGCGGCATGAGAGGCGCTAGACTTGAAGCGTCACGTTAAGCGAGAGCACGGGCCGTCACCTCCACAGCCTTGGGTACCATTGCACCATCCCTATTGGACTCGCTCTGGACCGAAAGAAGGGTCTGACTTCCTTCAGCCTCGTGTGGCATACGGGGGGTTGGGATGCTGGCGGTGTGTTTTGCATCGCCGTTGAACTCAAGATTATCTCAAAGAATGAGTGGCCGAATCATCTCTCTTACTCCATAAGTCTGGCCAAAGTTTGGTAGCTTGGACCCCTTGCCGGTTGCCCTCTCGGTATTACCTGGTTGATATCGGTTTGGGCCGCCACGTATTACTGAGAGGTGTGGCGGTGCACACCGGCCTCATTCAATTCAAGTCGATACAGGTGGGTCGGAATTTTGAGACAGGGATTGTTCAAGCCTCGCTCTTGACCTTCCTCAGAACAAAGAAGCTAAGCTGCTAGCCACGTCCGACTGGTAGGTCTTCACCGGCAATTCAATACCCAAGACACTCACTCCATCCGCCCTCGAGCATCTCAATCGCCATAATGTCTGATTCGGAAGAATTGGTCGAGCTTCCCGAAGAGGAGGATGACCTCTTCGGCGACGAGCCAGCGGACGAGGTCCTGGAGGACCGCAGTCGCGCTGGCAGCGAACGCGACGACGCGGCATCCGATCAGGACGCGGGCGAGGGTTATGGCAGAGATGACGAGGCGCCGGCCATAACAGATTACGAGACCAAGGTCATCGAGGCCGTTGAGATGCAGCGCCACCGCATCCCCAAGGCGAAGGATCAGAGAGTGAGTCGACACGGCGGTCCAAGTCGGCCGCGACGTGCGCTGACGATGAACAGTTGCGATCTCTTCGCGTCCCCAAGTTCATGAGAATCGTCCCTACGCTTTTCGATCCCGAAACGTTCGAGCCTACTGAGCAAGACATCGAGGACGCCAAAGCCGAGGTGCCCAGGGCCGACATCCGCGTTCGAAGACAGGGAAACAAGCTGCAAAGCAACGCTATGATTCACAGATGGAGCGATGGCTCTGTGACAATGACTGTCGGCGACGAGCACTTTGAAGTGACGACCAAGGCACTGGCCCCTGGACCAGACCAGCCGTACTCCGAACTCCAAGACGGACACTACTACGCCGCTGCCGCCGAGTACTCGAGCAACTTCCTCATGTTCGTAGGGCATGTCACCGATCAGTATATTGTCCGACCCGGAAAGGAAGTTGCCGACGACGCTCTGATTGCTCTTGCGGAGCGCATGGCAACGATATCACAAAAGCCCCAGGAGAAAGACATGATCATCAACACGATCCAGGATCCCGAGCTGCGCAAAAGACAGGCAGAACAAGCAGAAAAGGAGCGCATGAAGATGCAAAGACGCCGCGAGACGCAGAGTGCCCGGATGGATGCCAGCCGCGGATTTGGCCGCGGCGGAGGCCTATCCATTGGCGACCTCGAAGGCGGACGGCGTGCTGGCGGATCGCGGAAGAGAGGCATGCCTGGCGCACCGAAGCAAAAGAGAAGGCGTCCCGAGTATGACTCTGACGATGACCTGCCTTCTGGTGCGCGCAGGCAGGACGATTACGATTTGGAGGACGATTTCATTGTCGCGAGCGACGAGGAGGTCAGCGAGGGGGATCAGGACGACGAAGAGGAGCTTCTTGATGACGACGAGGCGCCGCGGCACAAGAAGCGACAGAGGAGGTCGGATGATGAGGATGCTGATGGCGATGATGATGACATGATGGAGCCAAGCGGCCGCGGAAGACGTCGCCATGTTGTCGATGACGACGACTCGGAGTGAGAATATGGTCGCGTCCTACCTAGGCTAGCCCATTGATACAGAGCTGGCCGCCATCAACCACTGTAATATACCAGGCCTACATTTCTTTTGCGCAAGCCGCGCGAGCGCGCCAAATGTTGTTTCACAGGAACAACCGAAATATGAGCAGTGCAAGCAGCGCGGGTTTATTATAACCTGTGCCTTGGTTGCGAAGAGGAAACGATACCTAAGCTCAGCAGACCAGCAACCAAATCGTGACATTGTATCCTATGGAACTTGGCCGTACTGGGGCTAGTGCCAGCAAACGGCGGGGGCACGTGCTGCAGCTGCTGTGCGTTCTTTGTCTCTCGGAGCCGTTGAGGGCCAGTTTGACTTTGTTAATGAAGAGCGACTCGTCGATATCGATATCCCGTCTTAAGCTAGCTTATCAATTTATCATGAGATAAGATAGTGACCCTTTTAATATCCGAGTTGAAAGAGTACATCCCAATGCTTATTGAGTTGGAGAGTACCGGGCGCATTGCTAAGGGCGTGGAAGACTCCAGGGCTCTTGAGCGGCAGTGTGCCGACAGTGTGCACGTTCTTGGCGAGCACGGTTCCAGCAGCCCCGATCTCGCGGATGATGGCCTTGTGCCTAAATAGCACTTTCACATGTCGAAGCTACCTAGGTAGTGCTACGGTACTAGGTCGTTAGTATTTGGACGGCGATAAGGGTCACATGATGTCTGACTCACATAACCCAGGGCTAAGCAAATCGATTATGATATTTCGGTATAAATGTGGACCGCACGGAGGGATCCTAGCTGGGTGGTTGGTCCCCGTTGTTGCTGTCCAGATACTAATGAACCATTACTGTGAGAATGGGACGGCACAGCCAAGGAGCTGAGGGAGCTGCCCCCCAACTTGCCAGCTCGAGGAGGGTCAGCACGGGTGCACGGAGTGGGGTCTCGTGGTGAATCCGAACCAGCAATGCCGTAAATGCACCTGGTATCCGTAAATGCAGCAGCGAGAGCAATTCGGGTGAGGGGAAAGTGGTCCCGCCCTGCAGCCTGCCCCAGAATCCCCAGATCATCCGGCGGCAATCCCGAATACCGACCGCTGCTCGTGCTCGCTCCCCCTTGCCTTGGGTTTGGCCAAATCACGAACAGTTGCCCGGTACGGTGGCCGAATCAATAGATACTCGTTCCTACTTCGAATCCGACATCGAAGAACACACAGACTTCGAGCTTACCTCACCATTGAAGACGCGCGCGCGCACGCACACGATTCTTTCACGACCCTCTCCCTATCCCTCTATCTCCCTGTCTCCCCGTCTCCCCGAAGCGTCCACCATTCATCCGTCGGCTCGTTTGCTCTCTAGCGATTCTTCTTGTTCTCGCCTGATCTCGAATGGCCCGTTGATACACCGTCTGTTGGCTGTATCTGTCCGCCCATTTACCCTCAGCCCACCTTCAAAACTGGAATGGAAACACCCCTCTAGTCAGAGACAATACGCTCGTCTCGCTCCGCCGGCCCACTGTGCCATAATGCCATGACCACCACACATCACCCGTCATTATCCTCTTCAGTATCGTTATTTCCCAACAGCTTGGGCTCCTCCATGGTCTTGATCAACATTATCGCCGTCGCGCAACCATGGGAGTAGTCGTTGCGCTCTGGCAAGTGGCCGTAGACGTGACGCACTTTTGGCAGCATGTACGTATATCCATGCGAATCTGTGCATTACTCGCCGATGGGGATTGGTCTGCCGGCGGGCCATTACTCTGCTTGCACTCTACCTGCACAGGCTGCGGCTGACCTCGATGCACAACTGCAGAAACTCCGCGCCTGGTACACACGTAAGACTCCCGTCGAACTATGGCTCGAACTCCTCCGCCATGCCGAAGCCTTTGAGGACTGGGAAGAGGCGGCGCTGCATCTGGATAACTTGCTTGGACTGGACTTGTGGTGAGCAACCGCTGTTGATGTTCATGTCTTAGAACCGCATGCTAATTTTCTCCGTACCGCGACAGGAGGAATAACCCAACGTCCAAGTTCTACGACTACCGCCTGATCAACGAGCGCCTCAACTCCTTGATCACTGCGAGGGAAGATGGCAACCTTAATCAGCTGGTCAACCTGCTCCGCTCCGGCCTGATCCGGAACTTGGGCAACATCACTGCTCCTACCCTTTACAACCGGTCCTTCGCCGGCACCAAATACTTGATCGAAGAATACATTACACAGATCGCCGAAGCAGTGGAGGATATCACACATCTACCAACGACGCCAGTGTCCGATTCTTATGGAGCTCCGGTTGGGTTGACCAACCAGATGAAGTTGGATTTCATCCACGACACTCGACAAGCCTTCGGAAGAAGCACGCTTGTTCTTCAGGGTGGTGCTATTTTCGGAGTGTGCCATCTCGGTGTCGTGAAAGCGTTGTTTCTCCGAGGTCTGCTCCCACGAATTATTACTGGAACCGCGACGGGCGCCCTCATAGCCGCTTTGGTGGCCATCCACACCGAGGAGGAGCTTCCCAACGTGCTCAAAGGGGATGGCATTGATCTGTCCGCGTTTTCCGGCAAGTTTAAGGCCGAAAAAGGTCTACAAAAAGACCAATCCTACGCGACGAGGTGGAACACGCTCCTGAGAAGACTAAAAAGGTTCACTCGTGAAGGCTACTTTCTCGACGTCAAGGTCTTGGAGGACTGCGTGAGAGCCAATGTTGGCGACTTGACATTCGAGGAGGCATACAACAGAAGCAAGAGGGTTCTAAACATCACTGTTGCTACGGCTGACCAAGGGGGCGTTCCGACACTACTCAACTATCTGACGGCACCGAACGTGGTGAGTATTATGCTTCTTGTTCGGAGTAGGGAAAAAAGGGACTGACACCAGTGAAAGCTTATATGGACAGCCGCAGTGGCTTCGAATGCCTCCACACCCAGTCTTTACGGCCACCGCGAGACGACAGTGCTCTGTAAAGATGCGCATGGAAACATCGTACCTTGGGCGCCGGCGAACACGATCGACTTCCACCATTGGACACATGTTTCGTATTCGGAACGCGAGTCGCCACTCCTCAGGATCGCCGAGCTTTTCAATGTGAACCACTTCATTGTCAGCCAGGCCCGCCCCTACCTCATTCCCTTTTTACAGAGCGACATGCACGGCCCGTCACTCATGGAGACGCGTAATAGCACGACGTCAATTACGGCCTTTTTGGCCCGCATGGTGGGATTGGAGATCAGGCACCGCTTACGCCAGCTTGACACGTTACGTCTTCTACCGGCAGGTATACGTCGCTTCCTTGTTGACGAACAAGTGCCGGGGGCGTCGATGACTCTGGTCCCCGAGGTGTCAGCTGGCGACTTTGTACGCTTGCTCGAGACGCCGACAAGGGAGACGCTAGATTACTGGATTTCGAGGGGCGAGCGGAGCGTTTGGCCTGCCGTTGCCGCGCTTCGGATTCGCTGTGCTGTCGAGAACGAGCTGGACAGGTCATACCAGACCGTCCGCAGATTGAAGGCGGGTGGTCTCCGGAGGAAAGGTTCAACAGCAGCGGCAGCGCCATTGGACAACAGCAACAAAGAGCGAAGAGCAAGCAGCTTGGGGGCTGCATACTGATGGTGCCGACCGGAAGCAGGCTGCACGCTGCAGCTGATCAATCCCATGCCACCCGAGGGTCGAACCCTGAGGCCTCGGGTGTCAGCCCAAATGCATGCGAATCCCGCGTTGACGCTCGACGGTACTGTATCATCCACACAAGGCACACTGTAGCTTGGGGGAGTGGCTCATTTACAAATTCATGCCAGCCTCGTGGTTGGTCAGGGCGAGACGGTCACGATCAATGAACGGCGTGGCGTTTTGGGGTCCGAAGATGATTACGCGGTAACGGGGAGGCGTGGGGAAGACATACCGGTTGTCAATGAACGGCCAAGGTGTTCTCGAAGACTGCCACTTTCAGGTTGTCGGTCAGGCTGCAGGTTACAGGCAGGGGGGGCGGGCCTAAGCAGAATGCAGGAGGGTTCAGCCCGGCTAGTATGACGGAGGGAACGCATCCCAGTGACGAGTTGGATGACCTATAGACCGAATGCTGCACGGAAGCTTTTCTTCTCCTGGTGTCATGGCCAAATCTGGAGACCGACGGTGAAGATGGATGGAATGCGTGAATGTCCTAGGGGAGCCGTCCAAGGGGAGCCGTCCATGGCGGAATGCCTCACCGCGCCCCCCCTCGATGGATATGCATGCGCGCTCCTACTTGTTAATCCCTCAAAGTCGTAGTTATTCCCATTCGAAGCCCGTCAGTTGGCCTTGCCAATAGTCTCGGGGGTGATGGAAGGCGATTCCGCGCAGCACCGGCGACGTGTTGGACCCCGGCACACCCACACACCCACACCCACACAAACCAGTCACACCTGCGATAGGTACAGGCATGAAACCATGGACAAGTTGAGTGGGGACGGCGGGCTGATAGAGAAGGAAGAGGATGCGGTGGCGTGCATGTCTTGGGCGGGCAGGTAAGAGGGGCCAGTGCAGGAGATCCGTACGCTAGGGACCTTCTCGAAGCCTTCTCGAAGCGTTCTCGAAGCGTTCGAGGTACCATGAGGTCACTCGCTGGGCAGGCCAGTGCCAGGATAGAACAGGCAGGGCTGCAGCGAGGGGGCTGCTCGCTCGCTCGCTCCTACAGAAAGTACTCTTGTCGACTGTGCAATCTTGGGCTTGCTTGGCGAAGCCGGCACCGCGGCCTCAATGAGAATTGGGTAACACGGAAAGGGAGCATCAAGATGTGAAGGAAATATTTCGCTCAGCGGTCACGAGGGATCGGTGGATGCACTGGTCTTGGTTCCTGCGCCGCACGTTGTTCCTCGGTTGGTTGCATGTCGTGGACGCCGGCGAACAGTTCCGGCTTGGGTGTGCGTAGCAAAGGTTGCTCAGGAGCATTCCGAGGCCAAGGGTCGGGTACGAAGTCCGCTCGCTCTCTCCCCTTGTTCCATAGAGTCGCCCGGTATGTGTGGCCGGGGGCCTGAGGTGAAGCGCTCGACACGGTTGCAACGGGTAGACCTAGGTCCTACAGTCGTCCCGAACTGGCGAAAGTGGACAAATGGCCGGCGCTTAGGACTCGACGCCCGAGAATTGTGGTTCGGGGACTGGAGCTGCCATTTGGCGCAGGCCGCATCTGTGTCTGTGCCGCCAGGTGACCTGGCATGCGTCGAAGATCTTTCCCTGCAGCAGCCCGCCCTTGGGCTCGTGCTGGTGCCAGAGGCTCCCGTATCTTCACAATGGGCGATGTTGCCCATGTTTTTGTAATATACTATCCGCTATGGAGGAGGTCGAGTAGGTAGTTCGTCAGCCTTCGGGCTCCACTAATTTGAAATTGTCGGTGTTGCCGGCAGCGCGTATGCGCCGTCTCGACCCGGAGCTGCGGGGAAGTGGCACAGGATATCCCTGCGCTAATTAGTCCTGACCCCAATTCATAAGGCCCTAGCAACGAACACCCAGTGCTTAGGTTGGGGGTGGTATTGTCTTCTGCGTCGTGACGTCGGGCAGACTGCGTGCGCATTGCTGGGCGTGTACGCAGCATATCTATGTCTCTCGAAGATCGGAGCATATGCCCGACCGAGGGATCTGTAGGGGAACTGACGTGAACGGCACGCCAGGTGGCAGGGGGCTGAGATATCCGAGTCAAGCCAGGAGCCACGGAGGATTAGCCTGGCGGGATATGCTAAGATGGAAGCGACGGTTCACTTGACTCTGGTTGACCGCGCGTTTCAGATCGACTGACAGCAGTAGCGTACCCATTCGGTAAGAAACAGACGATGGCCGGGTTTCTTGGCGTTCGGACATGAACCAATGATGCCTAGGAAACGGATTAAGCCGCGACGATCGAAACTGTTTGGCAATCTGATGTTGTCAAAAACAATTGATTGAATCGAGTAGTAACTTGCATCTCGGTGTGAAGGTAGCAAGAGATTAAGGTTTGATGTGATATGGAGATTGGGTCTGATGACAATCCAGAAGGCCCGTGATGCAACAACGTCTTCCTGAACCTGGACAGTGCGGCCATCGGCCTCGAGGCTCGCCCCCGGACGGACGGGACACGTCAACATGGTTCTTCGGTGAGCAAGCTTGGCAAGGTGACGCTCGTATTGGCGATCGTTGTCCAGCCCGTGCGCGTTGCGAAGCGGGATCGGAGACCAAAGCATATACCTATTCACAGCTAGGGTTGGCTGTGCAGTGCGGACGCCATCCAAAGTTGGGAGGGGCGCATGACGAGCTAGTCCGTGTGTTTGCGGCATCCAAAGATCTATGTCGGCAAGAAGTAACGACTGGCACTTAGTAGCGAGATCGGAACATGGGATGGCAGAGGACGAGCTGCATGGCATGCATTGGGATGATGCCATCAACCGTTGTCAAGTAGGGCGCAAAGGGAAGAATTAGCGCCAAACGTGCCATTCTCCACCCTTTGGATATACACGAGAGGAAAAACGAGGCGAGCAAAGAGCAGTGAGTCGTGAGGTAGGTAACGAAGGGTGGAAGGGAGAGAGAGAGTCCTCACACGGCCAAGACCTGAGGCCAAATTCGGGTTCGGCATACCTGTCTCAAGCTATTGGGAAGGAAAGCAGCGGAATCGATGCGGAATGGCAGGTCGCTGAAATGAGGAAAGAGAGACGACGACATGAACCAAAGTCCAGGGTCTGAAGGACCCTCCCTCCATACAACAGCGTGGGAAAGTACTGTGCTTAGACCCCACATCTACAGTACACACACCTACCTACCTACCTACCTACCTACCTACCTACCTACCTGCACTACACCTCCCCAGGAATCCGGATCCAGCTGTCCTCACCCACGCCCTCCCTCACACCTTCACCCACGGCTGCACACCCACCTGTCTGGGTAATGAGCCTCTCTCTCCTTGGATGCTGCTATCTGTCGCACCACCACCATCATCGACATGCCGGGCTCAGCCATGTAGTGTAGCTGCCCAGAGGTGACAGCCATGATGTGTGCCTGCATCGGGTCAGATGGTCATAAAAAGGGGCCCAGGAAGAGAGGGAAAAGGAGGGGGAGGAAGTGATGGATGAGCGAACCAAAGAAAGACGAGGATAGCACACACCTTGGGACGAGAAGAGCGTGGCTCTCGTGCTGTTGGTACCGATGCGACGCACCAGACCAGCACTCCCGACACCACCAAACATCCCGTACCTGACGCAGTACGTAAGCCGTGTGTGTATAAATCCCTCCGGCCCCCGAAACCTCACATACCTACCTCTCCCACCCCCTTCTTCCTCGACACAGCGTCAGAAATCACCATTCAATATATAGATAGCATATACTCTATGGTTCCCCTCTTCTTGTCCTCCTCCCTTCAAGCTACTTGTATCCCGCTATTCTGGAACGAATAGCCTCGTGAATTCTCTCTGGAACGAGAGGAACGAGTATATCCCGTCCCGCCGGTCAACACCATCGTCCACCTAGCTTCCTAGCGTTACTTCCCTTCACCAACACCAAGCAGGTCTTGCCGAAGCCCATTTCGATTCTCTTGCTTGTTCAGCTTCCGGTGAGAAACACTTGTTCCCGGAGGAGTCGTTGGACACTCTGAGCGAGGGCTGACATCGCTTCCATTAGCCAGCATCACTCGACAGCCGGCCTCTCCCATATAATACACGCCCTAATACCTGTTCGGCCGCGCAGCACGCCATACGCAATCATGTCCAACTCCAGAGGGATCGAAACGCATCTCGACTTCTCTGTTGGTCCCCAGCCCGGTAACTTTTCGCAGCAACGTAGTCCCCAGTACAAAATCTCCAACGAATCCGCATCAGCTCTCGCCAAGGGCCACGGCGCTCCCGCAGATTCGGGCCACGACGGCGGCTTCGTCGTCATAACTCGCGGCGAGGCCACTGCTTCGGGGCCGCCCTCCGAGGCCACCGGCTCTGACGACACCGTCATTGACAGCGCCATCATGAGAAGGGCCGCTGGAGCTCCAGCAGTCCTGGACTCTGCTCTGACCCAGAACAACATCCATCTCCACGATCGTGTGTGCCCGCTCGGCACCATGCCCATATACCAATGGATATGGGGTCAGCCCTGCCCCGGTGGCTTCGATATCAAGGACACTTCGTCCAGGGAGAGCATGAAGGTCCACGTCGCGCACTCACGCGCCAGCCAGGCAATTGATATCCTGGAGAACGAATACGGCGTCGTCAATCACCCTCCCGAATCTTTCATCGCCTTTGCTGGCCACTGGGCCGATGTCCCCGCCGGCCCTATGACGTTGGATGATGATGAATCCGATCCACTGAAGTGAGGATTCTGCCCCGGCCTCGTCCTTTCTGTCGTCTCGTCTCGTCTCTGGTAGTGGCTGCCACTATAGCCGACTCATCCTTCCCTTCTGACGTGGGACCGTCGCCCGACTTCCCACAATGACAAGGGATAGGTCGACCATGAGTTGCTTTTGGCTCGGCCAGACTTTTCGCGCGCATAAAGGATCATGCTGTCATGAAGCGCCGAAAAACCTCGCCGTATTTTGGAATAGCCCGTGTTGCTCGTCGTTGGTCGGCTTGTTTCTGGATGAGTTTGGGTCCTGCTCAAAGGATCAAACACTGTCATTTCCCGGAACAAAATAGAAACCTTCTAGTCCACTCCCCTCTTGTACGCTTTGGTAGTGCACTGGTGTGACGTCGGAATGCCAATCATTAATCTTCGCTTCAGTCGTCGTTGCGTTTTACCCCGTGACCGAGCTCAGTTTACCTACCCTGACCCCCCTCCCTCCCCCGTCGGCAGGGGCCGATTCGGATCTTCACCCCGCTAACACTCCAATAAATCGCCTCGATGCGGGGGAGCGCGCCCCCAAAGAGCGCGACGGACGTGGAGATGGCGTTGCATCGCATGGGATGAACTCTTCTTCCCCGGCACCGGTCTAGGAATTTCTCCATGATGCTTTGAATTTAGCCTGAACTCCGGCCGCTTCCAACCCATTACCCAGCGTATCACCGCACCACCCAGTTCCGTGTTGCCGGATGACCTCGTCTCTGTCCACACGGCGGTCCGGTGCGTTGGCTATAACGCCATGGTATAACGTATTGTATTGATGGAGAAATTGGCGCGATGCAAGGCACTCACTCTGTACCTGCATGTTGTTATAAGGCCCGCGGGCCCCTTCTCTCACGGAGGACCGGCGTCGCGCTCTGCAGCCAGCATTCGCCTCCTCCGTAGTTTGTCGCGATGATCATCTCCCTCAAGACGGCCCTCGCGGCCTTGCTCCTCTCACCTCTAGCAGCACAAGCCCGCCCGAGATGCCCGACGCGGGATGAGAGGGAATGGGTCACCATCTGGGGAACCATGCCCCAGCTCTGCGAGCCAGCCAACCTGCCCCCGGCGCCCTTTGTGAGTCTCATATCTGGTGTACATCGACGCCTTGTGTTTCTCTTCTCTTCTTTTGCGCAGCGGCTGACCTCGCACAGAACAAGACGGGCCGCGTCTTCCGCGACGCAACGCTTCGCCAGACCGTCAAGGTCTCCCTCGCGGCCGACACCCTTCGTCTCCAGATCAGCAACGCCTTCGGCGGCTCCGACCTGCCTGTCACCGCCGTCACCATCGCCCGCACGGCCAACAACACGGCCGGCACGAGCGGTGTCGACACCGGCTCCCTCCAGGTCGTCACTTTCTCCGGCAGCGGCGGCTTCGTCGTCCCCAACGGCGCCATCGTCTTCTCGGACCCGATCGAGCTCTCCGTCGCGGCGCAGTCCATCGTCTCCGTGACCATCTACCTCGCCGACGGGCAGACGACCAACAGCATAACCGCGCACCCGGGCAGCCGGACGACCTCGTTCCTCGTCAGCGGGAACCACGTCGCCGACCAGGACATCGGCGCCAACGCCACCCGGACGGACCATTGGTACCTGATCAGCTCCATCGAGGCCTGGTTGCCCAAGGGCGCGTCGGCCGTGGCCATCGTGGGCGACTCCATCTCCGACGGCCGCGGATCGACGACGAACGCCAACGACCGCTGGCCCGACCGGCTGCTGGCGCGGCTCAAGGCCGAGCCGTCGACGCAGGCCATCGCCATCGTCAACGAGGCCGCAGGCGGGAACCGCGTGCTGGCCGACGGCCTGGGCCCGAACGGCCTGGGTCGCATCGACAGGGACGTCATCGCGCAGTCTGGGGTGCGGTACGCCATCGTCTTCATCGGCGTCAACGACATCGGCACGGCGGCCACCACGGTGGCCGCCCAGGAGGCCGTCGGCGACAGGCTCGTGGCGGCGTACGACCAGATCATCACGCGGCTGCACCGCTTCGGCATCGCCGTCTTCGGGGCGACCATCACGCCGATGACCGGGGAGGGCCAGACGTACGGGGACCCGGAGCGGGAGAGGACGAGACAGCGGGTGAACGAGTGGATCCGGACCAGGGGGCGGTTCGACGGGCTCGTCGACTTTGACGAGGTCGTGAGAGACCCCACGGCGCCGGAGAAGCTGCGGGCCGAGTACGACACGGGCGATCACCTGCACCTCAACCCGGCCGGGTACGAGGCCATGGCCGCCGGCGTCGACCTGGCGCTGTTCGAGAAGTTCAAGGACGGCGTTTGGGGCATGGCCTAGAAGGCGGCGGGCGGGCGCGCGGGCGCCCTCCAGCTCATTGTGCGGAGGAGAAGAGGAAGTCGTGGTGAGTCAGAGGGTGTTTTGTACGCGAGTCGACGTCGACGAGAAGGATTCGCCAGACCGCGCGCGTCTGCTGTATGTGTAGCGTGGCGATTGGATGGCAGAATGCACCTCCCGTCCAAGAGACCGTCCAGTGGCAGAAGCGGTATTAGTAGCATGCGACCTGCGACCTATGCGGCCCAAATAAGAGCAAACCTTAATAAAATGTTGATATGTTTCTCAAACGCAAATCGGCCCTTGCCTGTGGAGCATTCGTGGAAGTCGGGGTTGCAGTCTACAGTTGCGAGAGCCGGGGGTGCGCAACTCCTGCGTATGAGTTTTTATTTATTTATATTTTTTATTAAGAATGCACCTGCGGAATCTTTACACGTTTTGCATTCATGTAAATAAGAAAGGAAGAGCGTGGCAAGGGGACGAAGCGCCGTGCTATGTAGATCATTTAATAGGGAAGACTTGTATAGCCTATGTCTGTTGCACTTGCACCGGGAATGTCACACGGCAAGGACCTTTTCGACTATTAACCCGACATATTGACAGCCCTCCATTCGTGTAACTGGTCATTCGAACGCGCCGTACTGTCCTCGATCTCAGAGGAAGTCTTGATCATCCTGTCTTATACACCTTCTACTTTGTACCCATGCCGTTCCTTTGAAATGGTTACCAAGAAGAAGTGGAGCTGTTGGATTAAATCCTGTAGGATTCCCCCTTCCCCCCCAATCGGTCTCCACGTTTTATATACCCTAAACCTTCCGACCCATCTCAACCAACTATCACTGGATGCAAACATCCACACTTCCCCGATAGTCTAGTGGTGAGGATATCTGCTTGTCAACACGCCCTGGGTCGCTGATCCCGGGTTGATTCGCAGGGGACCGGGGTTCAATTCCCCGTCGAGGAGATCTTTTTGCGCATTGCTTCGAGTTTCCACGACAGAAGGGCGGTGTTTGGGACTCTTTTGACGGTTGTGGTGCGGGTGGTGGCCGAGTTGGAGTCACTTCTGTGGTGTTGCAAAACCAAACCAGAGTTAAGCCTGGCCCAGCAGTGTAGTAGGTTCGGCACTGTGTCGTGTCGGTGCCCACTATAATTGCACGACAAGGCGTTCGCCCCAGCGCTTGTACATGAGAGGGCGTGCGTGCACTTCGGCAATCTCCCTATCTGTATGTCAACCTCAAGAACGAGCCACACATTTAAAGAGGTCGCAACAGGCTCAATTGAATTGCAACTGATTCTCTGAGCTCTTTCAACGACCTGTCAATCGAACTGCTGCAGCCCGGTCGGTACAGGTTGCGCCCGTCTCCTGTATCGTGCAATACACCTCTAAAACACTCACGCCGAAAGCCCAAGCAACGGCGGTATTGCATTTACTCACTGAGCATGATCGTCCCACGCTCGTCTTGCCGTCTGGCGAGACACGCACTCTCTCAGTCCCAGCTGTGCCGGGGCTCAAAACGAGCCGCGCCCGCGGGCGCGGTGCTTGGCCGACCCCAGACGGACCGTCGTTACATGAGCGCCGGCGCCTATCGGACCCCTGCCGGACTGAAGGATCTTCTGCGCGTCTCGGAGGAGGTCGCCGACGCCGTCGCAACCAACAAGCCCGTCGTTGCTCTGGAGTCGACAATCTACACCCACGGCGCGCTGGCCAACGACCTGGGTTTGGAAGACGTCGTTCGTCGGGGCGGTGGTGTACCTGCTGTCTGCGGCATCCTCAACGGCGAGCCCGTCGTTGGTTTGACCGAGGCGGAGGTCGCACAGATGGTTGACTCCGGCACCGCCAGCAAGGTTTCGAGAAGAGATGTTGCTCACTTGGTTGGACTGGTAAGTTGACATCGTCGTAGTCTATGCCCACGACCAGCTCATCCCAACTGGCCCCCCACGTCTCCCCTTAATTCCCAACCACCAAGCAAGGCGCAACCAGGCTAACGGATATGTCAGGGCATCACGGGCAAGAAGGTCCACGGCGGCACAACCATCGCCGGCACTATGCTGCTCTCAAGGCTCGCCGGCATCCGAGTCTTCGGTACCGGCGGCCTCGGCGGCGTCCACCGCGGCGGCGAGAACTCCATGGACGTCTCGGCGGACCTCACGGAGCTCGGCCGCACCCGCGTGGCGGTCGTGAGCGCCGGCTGCAAGGGCTTCCTCGACATCCCGCGCACGCTCGAGTTCCTCGAGACGCATGGCGCGTTCGTCGCGACCTTTGCCGACGGCCGCACGGGCAGCGTCGACTTCCCCGCCTTCTGGGCGCGCGAGAGCGGTACCAAGAGCCCCCTGGTCGTCCAAACCGAGCGCGAGGCCGCCGCCATGATCCTGGCGCAGGAGAGGCTGGGCATTGAGTCCGGCATGCTCTTTGCCAATCCCATCCCCGAGGAGCACGGCATCCCCCGCGCGGAGATGGACGCCGTCATCGAGACGGCCGTCACGGAAGCCGTCGAGAAGGGCTTCACCGGGGCCACCAACACGCCGTACGTCCTCGGCAGGATCAGACAGTTGACGCAGGAGCGTAGCACGCTGGCCAACGTTGCCCTGGTGAGGGCCAACGTGGCGAGGGCCACCAAGATCGCCGTGGAGCTCTCGAAGTTGCTGAACGGGGATGCCGGAGCGGAATCCGTGTAAGTGGGCTTTTGTAGTTTTTTTTATTTTTTTTATTTTACGCATAGATCAGCCAAAAGGTAGACTCTGACTGCGTAGATAGCTCGTCAAACACGTTTGTTTCTGGTTATGACGTCCCTGCCGCCGCGAAGCCCGCGACCAAGGCGGAAGCGCCCAAGTCGAGCAAGGCGGATGTTCTTGTGGCAGGATCCGTGGCCATTGACCTGAGCTGTGACTACCACCCCCTTGGAGACAAGAAAGAGGTCTCCCCCCATATGCATACGTCAAATCCTGCCTGCATCAGCCAGTCCATTGGCGGCGTCGGCCACAACGTTGCCCTCGCCGCGCACAGGGTGAGCAAGGACATCAGCGTGCGCCTTTGCAGCTTGATCGGAGACGACGTGTAAGTCGACGCCCATATCCTCGCCCACCTCTCCCCTTTTTCTGAGTGGAATAAAAAGTGCCGGAGCGACTGTGCTCTCCTCTCTCGAGGCATCGGGTCTCGAGACGACCTACATTCGCCAGCTCACGTCAGACTACCACGTCTCGAACCGCACCGCGCAGTACGTCGCCGTCAACGATGCCGAGAAGAACCTCGTCATGGCCATGGCCGACATGGGCATCTTCGCCAACCACTCGTTCCCCGACTACTGGAAATCGGCCGTCGCCGGTGCCAAGCCGCGCTGGCTCGTCGTCGACGGCAACTGGAGCCCCAAGGACATCCAGGCGTGGATCCAGGCCGGCCGCGAGCACGCCTGCAAGGTCGCCTTCGAGCCCGTCTCGACGGCCAAGTCCACCGGCCTCTTCCCGCGGGGGCAGCACCCGCACCTCGGCGTGTTCCCGGAGCCGGGCATCGACATGGCGTCGCCGAACCACTACGAGCTGACGGCCATGTACGACGCCGCCAAGGAGAACGGCTTCTTCGAGACCCCGGAGTGGTTCGAGGTCATCGACGCGTTCGGGATGCATGGCGCCAGGGAGCGCTTCGTGTACCTGACCTCCAGGGAGATGACAGACGCGGGGATCCCTGTGCAGACTATCCACCTCCTGCCCTACATCCCCACCATCGTCACGAAGCTGGGCTCCAAGGGCGTTCTACTGACCACGATCCTGGGCAAGGACGACCCCCGTTTGAAGGATAGAAACGAGGAGCGGTGGCTGCTCACCAGGGCCCGCGCCGACCACCCTACGATCGGCGGCGTATACATGCGTCTGTTCCCGCCGGCGGAAACGGTCGCCGCGGAAGACGTCGTCTCTGTCAACGGCGTTGGAGACACGTTTCTGGGCGTCATGGTTGCGGGCCTGTCAAAGGGGGGCAAGGTCGAGGACCTGATCGGCGTTGCGCAGAAGGCGGCGGTGTTGACCCTGAAGAGCCACCAGAGCGTGAGCCCTGACCTGGGAAGACTCGACGGGCTTTTGAAGGCCGCCGTGAGGGGCTGAGCAGTCTGCTGCGATATTGTAGGAATAATAATCACGTATTGTTGGTCGGCACAGCAGTGAGGACTGTCCCGGCCGGCTACTTTTTGCGGGTTTCCTTGACAACGAGGTCTCGAGACACGAAGAAAGAACACTGTAACGATAAATGGCACGGCCCATCTTGAAATTTTCTCATGCCTCAAGGCCATGGTACTGTAACACAGTTTTTATACATGTACCATGATTAAAGGTTGCGTGTTCTACACCTCGATGTACTCGAGTGACACAATATGAAGGCCAGATCCAAAGACTCATCACCTGCACACCCGCTGGGTAGTCGCACCAGTCCTTGATCGGGGCAACCCTGAAAGAACTAGAGAGAATTTTCAAAGAAATAGAAGAATTCAGTTTCAAAAGCATATAGTCTGCAATGAAACAAACCAAACTTCATTAAGCCTCGGACTCAATATTGCACAGTCGACACGACATGAGGGGAGGATTAAGAAAGGAACCGCCACTGTGCAGCGCCGGAGGGGTCTCAATGCCCCGCAGAACAGCCTCGGGAAAGGGTATGATTCATTGGCCAGGTCCCCTGCTGTGGCTGAAAAGCTCGCCAATGGCCATCTAGGAGCGCCTGCAAGGCTGAGAGCCCCAGTAAAAAAATTCTGGACGTCCTGCAAGCCGCTTCCTACTCCCGCCCTGATCCGCTGGTGCGTGCTCACGACCGAAAATCCTCGTCAGACCAAAAAAGAGCCCCAACCCACGACAATGGCAAAAGAACAACCGTTCGAGCGGTTTTCCGACGAGGAAGAGGAGGAGCAACTGTCTTCCTCGGAAGAGTCGGAACTCGAGGAGGAGACCCCGCGCCAGCGCAAACCGAAACCCGTGTTCGACGAGAAGGATTCCGACGAAGAGGAGCTCGAGAGGCTGGTCTTGGGAGGAAAGGCGGACTTTCGCGAACAACTTTTCCGGAACGATGTGCTCGGCGACATTGAGCGTCTGGAGAGCGAGCAGAACCTCCAGCTCACCAAGCCCGACGATTCCACACTAGAAGACGTTGCCGACCACGACCTCTTCTTCCTCGACACCGGCGTCCCCACGGCCAAGAGCTCACAGACCGGCAAGGCCGCCAAGGAAGAACCGGCGGCCGTCGAGGGCGCTCCCGCGTGGGAGGACAGCGACGACGAGCGGTTGACCGTCTCCCTGGCGACCGCGACGAGGTTACGGAAGCTGCGCCTCACCGAGGCCGAAGACGTGGTCAGCGGTGCCGAGTACAGCAGAAGGCTGCGAACCCAGTTCCTCCGGCTGAACCCTCTGCCGAAGTGGGCGCAAGAGCCCGAGGGCCGGCCCGCGAAGCGCAGGAGACGCTCGTCCGCCGCCGCCTCCGACTCCTCCGTCAGCTCCGACCAAGAGGACGGCGACACGGAGCTGTCCGCCGCCCCCCTGGAGAAGTTCCTGCGCGACGTCCGCCGCCTCGCCGGCAGGGACGCCGCGGGCAAGGCGCGCCTCAGGCCCGAGGTCATCGACATCCAGCGCACGCGCGAGATCCCCGACACGCACAAGGCGGCCGTCAACAACCTGTCCTTCCACCCGAAATACCCCGTCCTCCTCTCCTCCAGCGTCTCCTCGGTGCTTTACCTGCACCACCTCAACCCGACGGCGCACCCGACGCCGAACCCGATGCTCACCTCGGTGCAGGCCAAGGGCGTCGACGTCCGCCGCGCCGAGTTCCTGTACCCAGCGGGCGACCAGATCTTCTTCGCGGGGCGGCGCAAGTTCTTCCACAGCTGGGACCTCGAATCCGGCCACGTGCAGAAGACGAGCCAGATCCAGGGCCACAAGCTCGAGCACAAGAGCATGGAGCGCTTCAAGCTCAGCCCCTGCGGGCGGTACATGGGCCTCGTGGCGTCGACGAGGAAGGGCGGCGGCATCGTCAACATCGTCAGCACCGAGTCGAGGCAGTGGGTCGCCGCCGCGCGGCTCGACAGCCGGCACGGCATCGCCGACTTTGCGTGGTGGGGCACCGGCGACGGGCTCTCGATCCTGGGGCGGGACGGCTCCGTCGGCGAGTACAGCATGGCGGAGCGCAAGTTCCTCGCCGTGTGGCGCGACGAGGGCTGCGTGGGCGGCATCGTCATCGCGCTGGGCGGCCACCACCAGGGCCCGGAGCTCCTGGGCGGCGACCGCTGGGTGGCCGTCGGGTCCAGCAGCGGCATCGCCAACATCTACGACCGCGAGGCCCTCGTCAAGACGTCCAAGGCGGGCGAGGTCGGCGTCGAGGAGCGGCCGGAGCCGACGCGCCGCTTCGAGCAGCTGGTCACGCCCATCACGGTGCTGGCCTTCTCGCCCGACGGCCAGCTGCTGGCCTTCGGCAGCAGGGAGACCAAGGACGCGCTGCGCCTCGTCCACCTGCCCAGCTGCACCGTCTACAGGAACTGGCCCACGGCGCAGACGCCGCTGGGCAGGATTACGAGCGTGGCGTTCGGGCGGAGCAGCGAGCTCCTCGCGGTCGGCAATGACACGGGCAAGATCAGGATGTGGGAGATACGGAGTTAGACAGAGTCATCGAGGGAGAAGGGGAAAAAAAAAACAAGGAATGGGGAATCTTTGTGTTGTATTGCGTGGTTTGCGCGGCGTGAGGCCATCTTAATTCCATTACCCTGCCAATCCAGCCAAAATGTTCCATCGTACCCGCGCAAAAACCCGTGTTGTCCCGGTTCCGTATCATTGGGTCTCTCTCCCCCCCTCTCTCTCTGTCTCTCTATCTCGATCCATCAAACGTACCTGCCAATCTCGCGAAGAAGCTTGCGGGAAGGGTCTTCCTTGGGCATCTCATTGATGGGCACCCACAGGCGCCTCTTCCGGGTGTACAGCGCGAGCTCGCGCACGTTCTTGAAGAAACGGACAGCTTCGCCTTTTTCCTTGGCTTCGAGGAACTGTATGATGTTCACGTGGACCTTCTCGAGGGCCTTTTATGCCGCAGAAGGGGAAACGAGGTCAGCTCAAATAGTCTTTGCGATGGGGAATGCTGGCTGACCTTGCGGCACTGGGTCTTGCTGGGTAGGTCGCCGGGGAGGCCGAGGTCGGAGCAGAGGCGCTGCCAGTCGGCGAGCTCTCTCTTGTCAAAGTACTCGCTCCATCTCGCGAGGAAGTCCTCCTTGACCTTGGCCCGCTCCTCCTTCTTGGTCTTGGGGGCGGCGGCGTCCTTGGCGGTGGGGGCGATGTTCGTCTTGGTGTCAGGCAGGGCGGCGGCCTCGCTCTTGGCTCCGGCTGTTTGGGTGCTCTTCTTCGTCGTCGTCTTCTTCTTCTTCTTCTTCTTCTTCTTCGCATTGAGAGGAGCGCCGCCCTTGTTCTCCTCGGCCTCCGAGACGGCGAGGTTCTCCATCTTCTCGTCCTCGAGCTCGAGGTCCTCCAACTTGACGTGGACGTAGTCGAGGAGGTCGTCGATCTCGTCGCGGTCCTCGTTCTGGCTGTACTTGGCGTCGGTGTCCGGCTCCTCCATCTTGACGATGACGGCATCCCTCTCGAGCTCTTGGCCGCGTTGTTTGCCCTCCTGCGCCTTCGCGTCTGCCTGCGCCCCCTCGCGCTTGCGGCCGCGGTCTTTCTGTTTGCGAGCCATTTCTGCCTGTCTGCAACTGGGGCTGAGCTGCTATGTGTTGGGATCATGCCTTTGGAGGAAACACAAGTGTAGGACCAGACTCACCTGTGAAAGCTAAGGAGATACCTTGATTTATTGTTCTCCCTTTGTGTAGCCGCGGGGTGAGAGTGACCTGGAGACGGGGTTGGCTGTGGTACCCGTTGTTGAAGGATGAGACCAGCAGGAAAAAAAAAAATTTATTTAATTTTTTTTCCTCCTTGCGGACGAAACCAATGGAAGTGCTCGTTTGTCTTTTGTCGTTTGTCCTTGTTTATTCATGTGTATTCACCGTTTGGACGTCAAGGTGCACATGGGCCTGCTATGACCACCTTGGCCAGGTTTGGAGTCAGAATAGTGCATAGTGAGGGATTGAGGGTATTCAGACAAGCCCTTGGGAAAGCCTCGTGGCTTGTGACATGTCAATGAATCGAACCAACGTATCCACACAGGATTTCCCCGCAGCACGTGTGACAACGATAACACATTACAAGGTTTAATTAGCTCATCACTTGTTGTACCCGCTCACTAAGATGGTCGTGGTCTGCATAGCAATTGTTTGTCAAAGATTGGTTTTTCCTGGCTACAATCTATTGATACGCAAAACTGATGGACACAAGATCAAAGTGCTGTTGGACGTGAGTTGGGGAGTGTCAGTCCTGTTCACAAGCCTAGGCTTGGGTGCTTTTGATATTTGGATATACGACAGTTTGGGTTGGGGGAAAAAAAGTACACAATCACTGCTGTGAAGCTTATCTGCAATGTCCAAGAAAGAAAAAGAGAAGAAGGGAAAAAAAAACCCCACGATAGAATATACCGGGACATGATTTGAGACTGCCACTGCAAATTTGAAAAGGTTGCGACTGCTGCTCATACCATCATTTATACGGAATTTTGAACGTTGAGGCCACACCGCTTCTAGGTATCGTATTGGACGACGGACAACATTCGGTTACAATCGCAATTTCTCCAGGGTCGGCAAACGGAGAGGACGCTCTAAGAAGAACTTTACAACCACTTGAACCTGTATTTGTTAATCAGTCGCCTGGTCTTGATCAACCATTTGTGCACACAGCCCATCATCAATGTGATATATCAAGCTGATGCTATACCCTGGAGCTGTAGGGCGAATATACTGCCTGCGGGAGCCGGAACGCAGTCATGACAGCTCATTATATATGTATATATAAGTTATATACAACTATATATATGTAATGGCGTTCGTTCGTAGGGCAGTGAGAGCCAAACGGATGCTGTGTAACATTGCTTTGCCGAGAACTTCAACAGGAGGACCGTCCGTGGCCGCTTGTCTAGCAACAGCTGCCTCTCCCCTTTTGCTTGCCGTCTTGTCCATGCACGGTTTTACTGCCCATTGTTGGTATAAATCTTTGGGGGGAAGATGGAGGACTGCAAGAGACGAGTCAAGAAGCACTTGCGAATCGACTTTGGTGACCTTGTCACACCATCGCCCAATAACTCGTCCATCTAGCCTAGCGCGATGTTGGCAAGATGAAAGTATCTGCCAGCTGGCAATGGCCCAAGAGCTTGGACGCTATTGGGAAGACGGCTAGGACCGCAAACAGAGTATTACTGCCGAGGTCTCTTGAAAGGCCATGTGCCGTGTCAAGACACTGACGTTTGCTCGAAACCCATCCGATGTTCCAATGCGAAAGCATCAACTAAACGGTGATATCCGAATGTCACTTCCAGCTCAACTACGTACCGTGTACCGGCCCACGATCAAGGGCGTCATAGGTACCCCTGGATCTCATCTCGATTCTTAACTCTGCCGACCTAAACGAAGGGCCTCATCATCGATCGATAAGCACTTGGGGGAGGGTGCACTGACAGGGTCCAAGTTATCGGGTAGTCAGGCATCGGCGCACACAGCAGACGGCTTGCGGCTGTCATCGATGACGACCGCGGGCTCACCTGAAGACAACGAAGGTTCGACCAGCAATGGAGCCGTTTGCGGGCCGTGGCCACGCTACTCTACGAGCGGGTGGTTTGCGTCTGTGGTCGACCACGAGGACAGTTTTACGCGGCACCCCCTGAACGAAAAACCTCAACAGGAAGCCGCTAGTAGAGCTCGCCACCCCCCCCCCCCCCCCCCCCCCTCCCCGCCTTCCGATTTCGATACCATGGGTACGAGCAGATCGAGGAGAACGGCGGGGCTTCGTCGTTTCTCGAGGAACTCTCCGCCGGCTTTCCAGAGTTATCGGAAACCCGGAGATTTGACAGATGGAAAAAGAAAGGGAAAGAAAAGAAAAATAAAAAGAAAGGGAACAAAGAAAAGAGGAAGAAAAAGAAGAGAGCCTGAGAGCTTCCACAGGAGGATCTGTAGCGAGGCAGAAAGGACTGAAAGGCCTCTGCGGTGGTTCCGGTCCATACTCCATCTTCATCACGGGTAAGAAGGCGCGACGACGCGTGAGACACTGACACGGGAGGGAGAACAGGCGGGCAGCCACACCGTCACTGACCGCGGAGCGGGCGTTCCGTGTCCACGACAGAACAGAGAAAGCTTCTGTGGGCTCGGGACGGTACGGGGGTTTAGGAGTCAACCCGGCAGAGGCGGACGGAAAAGGCGCGTGGCTGGCCGTTCGTGACGCCAAAATTCGCGCTTATTCGTACTACTGCGTATATACGTGGGAGAGGTCACGGGCCTGTCGGCAAAGAGGCGTGTTTTCACTCACTTTTTTTTTCTTCTTCTCTGACGGTTGACTTTGAGTGGTCGCAGGAGACCGGGTATCCATGGTATTCACGGTGCCCACCTCGGGGTGGAGTTGTCCCATCAAAGTGGGCAAAGATGCAAGACCACGACATCGGACATGGTATCTCGGTGGACTCGGAGACGTCTGTTTTTTTTCCCTCTCCTTCGCCTGGGAGACATGGACCGCGGTCGTCCCTTAAAAGATTCTGGACGACTAGGGGGGTCCTCTGTTTCGGGAACCTTTTGGTGTGGGGGAGCATTCCACCGGCAACGTCGATTGGCGACAGAGAGGAAAGCGGAGCGCCAATGGTTCATGCAATCGCCGCCATTGGCCGTACCGAGATTATTATTTTCCTAGGCACGGAGGTATGGGTTGTGGATATTCCAAGCGTTGTCGCTATTGTTTTAGCGAAGGGTAAGAAGAGAAAGAAAAGGAAAAGAAAAAAGAGCCTCGTCCCGTTTCGCAGCATGTCGAGTTTGGTAGCATCGGCCAAGCACGGGCGCCGGGTCCGACTCTCGCATTTTCGTCATACGTCAGGCCCCCTTTGGATCGATCAGGTAGTACTCCATAGTATCGACCTTTCGGAATTTGCGACCAGGGGGGTGTTTGTTTATTGACGGGTTAGTACACTACATACTAGGGAGCAGTCTAAAAACAACAAGCGCCATATTGGCAGGTGCTGTCTGTCTGGGCTGCTCCTCTTTCCCTCACCCTTGGCTGCCCCCCCGGCATCTGGGCATAGCTTCTGGTTTAGATGGAGATCATGCCAGGATCTGATGACGGTTCCGGGCCCCTCCTCAATCGCTTAGCGAGAGTTCCCGAGGCCCAGGTTCAGCCCAGCCCGGTGATGCATTCACCCCGTCCAGCCAGCCGCCTTCCTTCTTCTGTTCCTTTTACGTGCGCAATTCACAGCCAGTAGGTAGGTATGGTGGATGATACGACAACTGAGGTATGATATGGTATACCTACACGTGTTGGACCTCCGGGCGCCTGGCGGTTTGTCCCGACCTGCTCGATCGCTGGCGCCGACACATGCTCTCGCATCGGCTTTCTGGGGGGTGTTTAGAGAAAGCGCTCACTTAGTAGTAACCCCCACCCGCCTTCGCCTGAACCCCGTTTCGATGCGTTGGATGAGGCAGGAGCGCATGCATACGCCAGCCTCACTCCCTCGGAAAACAGGACTCGACGCTGCGGATTCATGGCACGCACGACATGCGACATGCAGTGAGAGGAGTCATCGATCGCGGCTGCCAAGTGGCATATTCTGGTGTCCAACACGTCTTCCGGCCCTATTGCCCCCTTTTTTCGTCCTTTTTTTTTTTTTCTCTTTTTCTTTTCTCTCTCCCTCCTCCCTCGCGTCTTTTCTTCAGGCAGCTGGCGTCTAGCGACTGATGTAAGGGACGGAACGAGCGGGATTGGTGGGTTCGAGGGTTGTTGTCTTGTTGTGTTGTCTTGCCGTCATTCGCTACTACGACGCTGCGATGCAGCCGCGCGTTTGCTATCACCGTGGCAATCAATCCTGTCGTTCGAGTCAATTGTTGTGGCTACCAGGTTGCTCTTACCAGCAGTGCGGGTACACGACACGGATATGTGGATGTGGTTGGTTCCATGCGGACACAACCACCAGACCACCAACATTTCTTGTTGTTTCTCTCCCGCTCTCGCTGTCTTGTCTCATTACCCGCCATCAGATAGAGGATACCTGGGTAGAAGACCACCAGCCCTATCTTGCTCTCCATCTTACCGAGGGAACCCAAAGGGTTGCAACACGGGCCCAACGACGACCCCTTCTTGACAACCCGGAGGGCACTCACACACACACACACACATGCCAAAACACCACTACTAGGTATAGTAGCTGGCTGATAACCCCAAACAAGTAATATGAGGTTGTCCTGCAAGCCAAAATTTCTCGCGCAGAGGCTCCTCCAGTTGGCCAGGCCTCCCCTGTAAAGAAGCTGTATGTGCTATGCACGGGCAGGATCATGCCATGGGTCGCCCAACCTCTCACTTCGGCGCGTCAGCACCACACCACAACCGCAGCCACAACATCTCATACAAAGTCCTCACGCGACCCGCCGCCGCGGTTGGCAGCGTGCGCGGGCTCTTCTTCGCTTGCTTCTGCAGCACATACATACATACCTACGCTTGCTCCCTTGCTTTCTTCCACCCTGCCCGTTTTCGTCAATATTCTTCGACACCCCTCCCCCCTCACCCTTGCCTCTTTCTTTTGGTCGAGGTAACCAAAAGTAGAAGTACCTCTTCTGCCTCTTTGGCCAACTCTCGACTGGCCCTCTTTGAACGACGCACGGCTTGATGGAGACGTCCTGCATTAGGGCAGCCAGTGCTACTAGTATGCTTTGTAGCGTCCCTGTCCAAAACCGCTTTTTTTAAAACCCCCCCGTTGTCCCCTCCCCCCTCCCCCGGACTATTATCTGACGGATGTGGTTTGAAGTCTGGAGGGAACTGGGATTCAAACTCTACAAACTTAACTGAGAGGCCGTTGGCGCTGCTCTCATCATCTCACCACCTTTAGATGGACATGGCCGAGCCTGACCTCGTCCGTCCCTCAACGTCGCACTTCGGCGCCCCGGCCCTCCAGAGGAGGTTTCTTCTCTCCAGCCCGGGGCGGCCTCGAACCGCAGCGGGCCTCCTTGAGCCGAAAACCGCCCCGATACCCTCGCAAGCCGGCTTGGCTGTCAAAGTCTGCATCAAGTTCCAGCCCTCTCTGGACTTCGCCTACGAAAGACACTACCAGTCCTCCTACCGTTTCGTGCCCACCGACCAGATATGCCGCGCCCTTGTGCGCCGCTTGACGCACTGCTCAAATGAGCTGCTCACCCGCAGAGACTCGGCCGCCCTCAGGAGGAATATTCCCCAGATCGGCGAGGGGAAGCCGCTGCGCTTCGAGCTCATCTACCAGATCTACCGAGGAGGCCCGGAACCGTGGGCCACGAAATCCTTCCGCTCCTACCAAAAGAATCCCCTCGACAAGCCGTCCGCCATGGAGATCGCCCGCTCTACCGACCGCATCATCGGCTCTTTCATGAAGCTCCATGACAAGTCTTTTAGATGGATGCACGGAAGGACCAGCGAGCGGCCCTCGAGCGACCTGGAGTTACTAAAGCCCCTTAGCAACCCGGTCTCGCTCCTTCACATCCCCCAGTCGCGCTTCGTCGAGGCCACACAAGACTGGGAGTTCGTCCCCGGCTACGACATCACCCTGTCCTTCCGCAGTCGATGCAAGTCACGCAGACAACGGGAATGGCACCGCACCATCACGCTCAAGAGCAGTCAGAGCTCTCCGCTGACGCTGTCTCGCGGCGAGGACATGGCCTGGGTCTTGTCGACGGCAATGCAGCGTGCATTGGATGTTAGGAAGATGGTTTTTGACGGACAGCATCGTTCTTGCAACGCCTTCGACTTCCTGGATGAGTGCCACCATTCCGAGCAGGGCGCCGTCCACGTTGGGTTCCAAATCCAAAACCGACTCGGACTGGACCATAGGCACTTGCGCCGCGAGCTCGACAGCAACCTCCTCCTCTTCCAGGACCCGGACGGCCTCGACTGCGAGGAGTTCCTGAGCCAACTGCAACACGCCTTTGAAGCGGTTCGGGATGGCACCGACGTGGAAATGAATGAGACGGACGACCTCAGAATCACAGTATATGAGCTCTCTGGGCGCGGTTGGAAGACCGAGAAACCATTCGCCGTGTGCCTCGATTCGACTGCCTGCTATTGCCGGCGGACCGTCAAAGCCATTCTTGACAGAGTGCAGACGGGCGTTGCCGACATTCTTGGCGGCAACGATATGAGTATAACGCTCGTGGTCCACAAACGTGGCCATCTCGTTTTGGACAAAACGCTCGTGGCCCGTTCGCCATCCTACGCGACGGGACAGCGCCAAGACGAGGATCCCGAGACTTTGAAGGGGCGTTTCGTGTCGAGACTCAAGGAACGGATCCAGTCTGATGTCGTAATGGTCATCAAAGACACGTGCTCCCTGACCGATTGCGACCCGCAGAACATCCGCATCATCGAGCGACCGGTCCCCGCAGCGAGTGACCCTGCTGAGATGGAAGCTTGTGCTTCTAGCAGCCCGCTCCTAATCTCGACGCCCAATGGGGTCGCGACGCCATCGTTCGGCGGGAGCTTCGCTGAGTCGTCCGAACCTTCGGGTTCGCCAGGTGAAACGCTTCAGGGTGGTAGTGGGGTTGAGTCGGCTCCCGAAAGCGTCAATGACACCGTGGGGCCCTCGCAACATCCTGAAACCCCAGCCAAAGCAGTCGCCTTCAAAGACCAGGCCAGTTCTCCTGGCCGAAGCCCCCTGTCCTTCTCCATGACCGAGGACGGCGAGACTACATATCCCTCGTCGTCCTCGTCCACCCCGAGCCTTGTCGACGGAGACATTGGATCGCCTCACGAGAGCCTGCTGTTCACGCCCACGTTTATGCGAACGATTTCCGGAACCCCTCACCACTTTGACGCCAACCCGAACATCGCGAGCTCCGAGACCTCCGACAGCGACCTCATCGACGATTCCTTGGCAGGGCCGCCGACACCAACGATGCAGCGATTCAACGGACCGCGGCAGTTTAGCCTCATGGGCAAAGGCAGCCGCTCCGTTTCGCGTCAGTCTGTGGTGTCGATTGACTCTGGATTCGAGAAGCGGTCGCTAAGCGACTCCGAGTCTTCTTCGCCTTCGCCCGCAATTGATAATGCTATCATTCAGGGCCGGGGAGTGGCGTCAGAGTTTGAGGCTGGTCCCAACTTCGCACCCACGCGTTCGACAGCACCACCTGATGCAAAGGCAGAACTGGCTGCCAAAGAGCCCGCGCTCGAAGGCTGGTTGGAGTACTGCTGCGTCTCGGTTGGTGGTGAAGAACAAGCGGCCGTGTCGAAACCGGAGCCAGCAGCTGCAGCTGAGGTATACGGAAACTCCGAGTCGGCGCAGAAAGAGCCGGCGGTTGTCATGACTGCAGTCGAGACCCGCCCGAGGCCTTCCACTCCCCCGCGATCCTTCGAGGGTTTCTTGGAATACGCCATTGAAACCATCGTCGAAGAAGACGAGGAGGACTCTGACGCGGAGTTCCATGACGTGGGATCACCCTCCGTTTTGGCTTCGATGCCGAGCCCCTCGAGCTTCGCGACCGCCGCGGAGACGGCCCTCAACTCCCCCGCGTACTATGAGGATGCTTTCGCTCTCGACGCCACGACACCCTCGCTCAACCTCCTTGACTCTGCCTCTCCTTCTTCAGGCAACATGGACAAGGGCCCGTCGTCGCGGTCGGTCGGCTCTGCTACCATTGCCGAGGGTGCTGCATTCACCCTTGGTTCGGCTGCCAAAGTCGATTCTTGTACGTCTTTCATTGACACGATTGAGCCTGCCACTTCCACTCCACACGTTCCCGAAGCCACCCAGTGTCCTTCTCTCCCCGAAGCAACAGAGGTTTTTTCTACTCCTCAAGCTGCTAAAATTCCTCCCACCCCTGAACCTTTTGCCCCCGAGCTATCTGATCCGTGCACCCCCGAAGCCGTTGAGCCGTCCTCGCTCTATACGGAACCCTCCGAATCGATCCATCACCCCTCCAAGCCAACTCCTCCGGTTCCGTCCCCCCTAACCCAGGCAGAGACCCATTCCGTCTCGTCGGAAGCCCCGAACACGCCAACATCAGCGCCCTCATTCAGCGACAAAGACGATGAGGAAGATGTCCTGAAACAGTCCAGTCCTCCGCCATTGATGTCCGAGGCGGAGGATTCTGACTACTCAGAACCCTCTGAGCCCACCATGCCGTACCCCGAATTCCTCGACCAAGACTCCGACACGGCCGAAGTCCACGACGACGCGTCAATGACCCTTTCACACTGGCCGCAGAGGGCATCCTTCTTTCTCCCCGATGAGGCGAGTGACGCCTACTTTGCCCACATGCGCAAGCTCTCTATCCCGCGCTCGCTGCTCTCGCGCCCGAGTTCGAGCGCGTCATCACTCGGCTCGCCCTTTTCGCACAAGCGGCAGTTCTCATCGCCGACGGCGGGGCTCTTTGGACTTCACGAGCCGCGGCGTCTCGACATTGGACTCCGCGGGGCGCTGCTCGGCATCGCTGCGCTGCAGAAGCAGAGCAGGCTCGAGCGGAGACCGTCGCAGGTGTTGCTGAAGCTCGACAACGATAAGGGCATGATCGTCGTGCCCGGTCGCAGTCGGCAAAACAGCGAGACGAGGGGCATTGGCGGTGCCGGCGTCTTGGGATTGGGTAATGCTTTTGCGTTGTAGGTGGACTCGGTGCTCAGGACACGCGGCCCAGGAGGCAATCGGGATTTAACGACATGATGAAATGGAGACGAACGGGCTGGATGGTGGGTTTGGGACGAGCGACTGGGGAGACCGGATGAAAAGAAAAAAAAATCGGCAACCTGCATGAATTGGCGTTTTTGGATCATCGCTGGATGATGTTTGTTTTTGGGTAAGATGCGGTTCATATCGCTAGCAATGCATGGCGGGCAACATCTTGATTGATCATAAAAAGCGCATTCACAGCCAGGGATCATTTGGAAAGAGGCGCCGGCTACCAGATAAAAGTCTAGATAGACACGCACTATTTCTTAACGATACATCATCATATTCTCTTGCAATCACTATACGGACTTGCTATGTGATAAGCCTCTATCCCTGCCTCCATCACCCTTTTGTGGCACATAGCTTTTAATCCACCCTTTCCCCCCAGGACTTGAATTTATTGTCACTGCGGGGTGCCCTTCCTTCAGCAAACCGCACTCTTTGTTGCACCGGTTGTGGCTGGTTGGTACATGTGCTGATCTCCAAGTGGCCCAGCCAGAGCAACTTCACGACGCGGGCGGTCTGGGGTTCACACGAGGACCGAGGACCGGACACAGGTGGTTTGTATACTCCGCGGATCTCGAGACCTGCGGCATGTCCGCAAAGTCCAAAGTCTGTTCCATTTCGAAAGCCCGTGGACTGCCGTGCGCCCCGGACGTTGTGGCCGGCGAGGTTGCCGCGGGGCCTGCGCTCGTTTCCACCCCCCTCCTTACCCCAATTCTTAAACCTAGCCCATGTGAAGAAGCAAATGCCCTCCCCCCCCCCAGCTCGCTCTTCCTGGACTTTGGGGCGATGATGTCCGGCCCAGTCAGCTGGAAAACCCGGGTAAGAAGACTCCAAGAGGGCTGGAGTGCGCTTCCCCTCCCCCGCTTCGGCGGATGGGCTGCGCTGTTTGGCCTCTAGTAACATGGATAGCTCTTGCCGAACCTCCGGGACAGCGCGCGGAGCGTCGCGCTGGCTTCTTGGGCCTCTCGCGCGAGCTGGTGCCTTATGGGCTATGCTCTTCCGTCTGCGTGTGTGGCGACAAGACGGGCAGCTCTCCTTCCCCCCCCCCCCCCCCCCCCCCCCCCGTCAGACCAGCTCGGCGTTCCCCGCGTCGACGACGGGCTTGGCGCTGGACCACCGCAGGATCAGGATATCCCCCGCCCGCCCCGGCAGGGAGCCGTCCGAGTCGGTCCCCTTGCCCTCGACGTCGACGTCGCGCAGCAGGCGGATGAAGACGGCGGTGTCGAGGTCCGGGCCGTCGATCATGCTGATGTTGCCGGCCGTGTCGTTGAGGTTCTGGAGCTGCGGCGGGAAGGAGGAGAGGAAAGAGGAGAGGTAGTGGTTGTGCAGGAGGGCCTGGTGGCGGGTCGCGTAGGCGAGCTCCGTCTCGGAGAGGCGCGCGCGGAGGGCGGCGGAGGAGAGGTAGTGGAGGGCGTGCTTGTCGATCTGTCGCGGCAGCAGGGATGTGTTAGCTGATTCCGTCGTCAACCTAGAAACCGAACGAGTATGCCCGGGGCGGAGGGAGGGGTGGCGAGGAATGAGAGAGGGAGAGAGAGGGGGGGGGGGGAGGGAGAGAGAGAGAGAGGCAGCACCTTTGCTATGCGGGCGCGGAGGTAGCTCCTGACGATGAACTTGAAGCGCTCGAGCTCGGTCTGAATCACGATGAGGGCGAAGTTGGTCTTGGGGTCCATGTCGCCCGTCATGTCCTCGACCTTTTCGATCTGGCGCTTGATGCGGTCGTTGACGCGCTCAAAGAGGCCGTCGGCGGGCCATCTGACGCGTCTCGTGTCAGCCAGTCAATTGATTTCTCTTTCACCCGCGCCCAGAGCGGAGGGGAAGAAAGGCAAGTGGTGCACACACTCTAGAAGCTCTGGCGCGGAGCGCTCCGCCACCCAGGCACGCGTCAAGGCCTGCAGGTCGCGTGTCTCGGAGGGGACGGAGTGCGAGACCGGGTCGACCTCGCGGAGGATGTCGTCGATGTCCATGGCGTGAGTATGGTGTGTGCGTGTTCCGATCGTAGACGGCGGGAAAGGGGGGGAGGGTGCTATAACATGGTGCGCGCGAGTGGAGGCAGGCAGCGAGGTGTTGTTGCGTTGGGCTCCGCGGTTGGCGGGTGGGCTCTTTTTCCTTTTTTTGCTTCCGGATCGCGGGATGGTGTTTTGCGGGTGGGAGAGATCGCGGGGTGGTTAATTGAACTCGGTAGCGGGGTTCCATGGTAGTTCGGGGTGGGGCCCTGAAGGGATGCTGTCCGAGCCCGCACAAACTCCAACAACGAGGCGTTGAGCTGTAAGGGGTAATGAGCTTGCTGGCATCTCATTCTTCCTACTGCGGGGTATTAGTTCGTTGGTAAGTTTCCGCCATTTGCGTCGATAATGCCTAGCTTACTAGTAAGGATGTGCTACCCCGACGAACTGGCCCCAAAAAGTCCGCTGCCGAGGCATCTAGCTGAGGGAATAAGCAGAACTTTGAGCAAAGTGTAATTTAAGGTGCCAGCTCCCTCCAAAATCCCTTCGTTCCTCATCCTCTTACCTCATCAATCTCCCAAATAACACTCTAGCTGACAGGCACTCACTCTGGCCTAAATCAATGCCCAGCGCAAGTTCTTTTTTTTACTCTTCTAGTATCTTACAGGGTCTTAATTGTATCGTCAGAATCTTTGCACATGTTGCCTCTTCACAATGACTGATTCCGGTGACGGCGATGGACGCGTTCCCTACTCATCATACACCGTCAGCATCTACCAAAATGGCATCATATCGGGTCAGTTACCCATCGTGACGACGAACCCGAATGGCTTAGAGGCTCAGGCCAAGAAGGCAATGGACCCCAAGCCCTTTGGCTATGTCTTCGGTGGAGCCGGGGAGCTGTCTACGATGGACGCCAACCGCCTGGCCTTCCGCCAGTGGAAGATCGTGCCCCGCTTCCTGAGACCCAACAATCCTCGGGACCTGAGCACTGAGCTGTTTGGCGTGACTTATGGTGAGCTTGAATGCTCGCAAATTGCCCAGGGACACATGTTCTGAGACACTCACTCTACTTCAGAGACGCCTGTCTTGATGGCCCCCATCGGGGTCCAGGGCATCTTCCACGCAGACAAGGAAACGGGTCTGGCGGCGGCCTGCGCGGAGCTCAAGGTCCCGTACACGCTCAGCACGGCCGCGACCTCGACCATCGAAGAGGTCGCCGAGGTCTGCGGCGACCACCACCGCTGGTTCCAGCTGTACTGGCCGATGGACGACGAGATCACGGCCTCGATCCTCCGCCGCGCCAAGGCTAACGGCTACAAGGTCCTCGTCGTGACTCTCGACACCGTCACCCTGGCCTGGCGGCCCACCGACCTCGACAATGCATACCTGCCCCAGATCGCAGGCACGGGCAACTCGGTCGCCTTCAGCGACCCTGTCTTCCGCAGGAAGTTCGCCGAGCAAAACGATGGCGACGCTGTCGAGGACAACGTCATCGGCGCCTCCCGGTACTGGCTTAGCGAGGCCTTCCCCGGCGAGCACCATGGGTGGAAGGACCTGGCCCTGCTGAGGAAGCATTGGGACGGCCCCATCGTTCTCAAGGGTGTGCTGAGCGCCGAAGACGCCAAGCTTGCTGTTGAGCACGGCATGTCGGGCGTTATCGTCAGCAACCACGGCGGCCGGCAGCTCGACGGCGGCGTGGCCTCGCTGGAGATGCTCCCGGAGATCGTCGAAGCCGTTGGAGACAAAATCACCGTCATGTTCGACTCCGGGATCCGGACGGGGGCTGACATCGTCAAGGCCCTGGCCCTGGGGGCCAGGGCCGTCTTTGTTGGACGCCCCGCCATCTACGGTCTGGGTATCGCGGGAAAGGAGGGCGCAAAAGCTGTGATTGCCGGGTTGCTCGCCGATCTTGATCTGACCATGGGGTTAGCTGGATTCAAAAAGATCTCCGACCTCACACCATCCATTCTGCGACAGGTTCGGTACGGCGGAGATGTCAAGGCCAATCTGTGATGGCCGAATTGCCGCTGTATTGGGGGCCTAGCAGCTTGGCAGGCCGTTTTCCGTAGCAACATTCTCTAGTCTGCATCTTCTTGATCACTAAAACCTGGGTGGGAATTCAGGGCCCCATTCACCGTCAAAATCTTGTGTATTTTGTTAGAAGTGATGTGATGGCTAGCCAATACCCCTGCCTTGATTTCTACCCAGGTCTCAGTGATTAAGGAGACCAGCCCCACAAGCTTGTAGAGGTTAATCACATTAAACGTGAACCTTTGGCATAAACTTGGTGGGAAGGGGGACATTCTCTCTCCCGTAGGCTAAGGAGCCCCGAATGCTCATCTTCCGACAAGGCTGGGCTTGGGAAGGAAGAGAGCCTCTGGGCTAACGGTCGGGTCCTGTAGTATGCCTTGAGCCGAGACACCCCAGATCGCAGTGCGGATCTCAAGTCAAAAACATTTTACTGCATTCTGCTACCCATCCCTGAGCGGACGGAGGAATTCTCCCGCCCCCTTTGCGATGATATCCCTCCACGCGCCAGCAGGACTTGCAACTATGAACTTCCATCAACACTAAGATGCCTCTTGCAGAGAACAAGCTAGCCTAGGCGTTGAGTCTTACTGTCCGCTTCCACAGTCACGATGCGGTTCCAACCGACCCATTCGCCCATGAGACTATCATCACTGCTTCTCGGGAATGTGAACCACTCTCCCATATGGCTATTCTGCCAGGATGTGTTCGCCCTGGTTGCCCCCTCGATGGCTCCATGGAACGGGCCTCGCCCGTGGAAGCGGGGGTGGCAGAGACAGCAGTGAGCAGGAGATCAGCCGAATCAAGCTGTCTTTGAATAATCTCATTGCAAAGTCTCTTCGAAGGCGTCATGTTTGTTGACGATGCTCACGATTCCAGGTATATATAAAACAGCGTAGTGCCGGGGGGCTCGGGTGAAGGGAAAAGTTGTAGACACAGCATCCACTCACTCACCCCCAGTCCCTCGTTACCAAACAATTCAATTGTTTTCGCAGTTTCTTTTCACTTTTGACATAGTTTACTTCTCTTCTCATATCCTGATACTTGATAGTTGAAATGCGCACCTCGTCGCTCATTCTGGCGGCGGCCTCCGCCGTCTCTGTGTTTGGCGCCCCCCTGGAGAAGAAGGACAACTATGACCCCCTTCCCGGAGGTGACTCCACGATCCTGAACTACGCACTCACTCTGGAGTACCTAGAGAGGGCCTTCTACGGCCTGGGGCTCCAGCGGTTCTCCGAGGCCGACTTCTGCGAGTACGCGGGCGAAGTTGGCCAGAGCTTCTACAATAACCTGCAGACCATCTACGAGGACGAGAAGGTCGGTTTTGAAACCACTTTGCCGTAGATCGACGCTGCTTCTCTAGAGACTTTCAGAGAGACTGTCTCTCGGCACATCCTCAGAGGAACATTGCCCCCGCTAACACGCAACCACAGACGCACGTCGACTTCCTCAAGACGGCCCTCGGGGCCTCCGCCATCCCCGAGCCGTCCTTCAGCTTTCCCGTCCCCAACGTCGAGTCCTTCATCGGCCTCGCCGGTGTCCTTGAGGGTGTCGGCGTGTCCGCCTACCTTGGTGCCGCCGCCGTCATCGCCGACAAGGCCTACCTCACCGCTGCGGGTTCCATCCTGACCGTCGAGGCCCGCCACGTGTCCTACATCCGCGCTGCCCTCCGCCAAAACCCCTTCCCCACCCCCTTCGACACCCCGCTCGACTTCAACCAGGTCTACTCTCTGGCCGCGCAGTTCATCGCCGGCTTCGCCCCCGGCACCCCAGCGCTGCCGTTCAAGGCCTTCCCCACGCTGACCGTCGATGCCATCAGAGGGTCGAAGGCCGTTGTCTTCGAGGGCGCCTACGGGGCTGCCGTCGAGGCCAAGACCGTTCCCCAGGGCGACGTCTATGCCGTTTTCTTCTCTGGCCTGGACACCTACTACAGCAAGGTCACCGTCAGCGGTGCCGATGTGAGTATTCCCCTTACGACCCTCCCCGGCGCAAACCTGTCGGCGCGATTTGTTGCAAGATGCTGACCTTCGATAGTACGTCGTCTTCATCCCGGCTGGCCCCAAGGGCCAGGTCTACGTCGTCCTCAGCACCGCCAACGGCAAGGACGCCAAGGTCTCTGACGAGAACACTGTCGCTGGCGTTGGAATCCTCGAGATCTAAAGGGGTTGGCTGGTGGACAGACCCATCGACCTGGCTTGGTAGGTCATGGCGGAGAGTCGCAGGTAGCGGTTCGGGGGCACTATACGAATACCTGATGAATTATTCTTATGATCTCTTTCGTCTTCCTTGTATTTATTGATGGTATAACCCCGTGTCTCAATGGTTTTTATAGTTAATTTAATTCTTGCTCGGTGGTGTGTTCTGTGCAAGTATGTATTCCGGTTCGTCAAAGGGAAGGAAAGGCCTTCCTCAAGTTGAGATCGGGGGAGTAAATGACATTACCTCCTGCTCATCAGACAAGTCATATATCAGAACAATATCTACTCGATATTTATTCCTCGTAGAATGAGTTTATGTTCTCGTCAAAGAGTCTATCAAGATGCTCTGGCGTCTGATGAATGAAACAGCTGCACATGCAGGTAATGCTAACCATTGTATTGGTACCGATTTGATAGATATGTATCCTACAGGCAGAGTTGAAATAGAAGACTAATTCTTGTCCCTCGGACGGAGGGAGCTCAAATGATGCTGGCTAAAATGAAAACACATCTTCGGGTTTCCGAGTCCACAGCTAACTGCCGACAGCTCAGCAGAGCTTATGCGGCACAGTTATCTCGACGTCACATACACCCTCCGGAGTTCAAATGATAAACCAGAAGCTCTATGATTCAAACGGGTCGAGAAGAAATGGGGACCTCTCCGGCGGGAAAGGGCTATTGGCTATGACATTTATCTGGCACCTTGGGCCATTGGATCAGACAGACCATTAGTGTAAAGAATGTAATTTGCTGCTTACCAGCTTCGGAACGAGGAAACTATGCGAGCGAATGCTACACCAAACAGATGTCCTCTGGTCCCCCGCAAATACCCAATTAGCAGTTTGTGTATGCGTCACCCGGCGTCGATCATAGCTCATGAGTGCCATCAAAAATATGCGCCTGTATCATCATGTGTCCCGATGGTGCCCGTCCAGCAGAAGAAGAAAAAGAAGAAGAAGAAGAAGAAGAAGAATACCCCTAGAAATGCCACCTGAACGCCAGATCACCTAGAACAAGCCCAAGTGGCCCGCAAAACAGCTTACAGATAGCCGTCTATATTGCATGGCAACACATCTCTCTGCTCAGCCGATGAACTCCGTACACAGTAGGGGCTCCCATGCCTGTCCCGATGCCCACACATTCTCCATCATATTCTTCGCCTTATGCACCTAGACCCAAAACGTCAGCTTGAAAAGACAACAGTATACGGGGGACCACACGTGCCTGTGTCATTCCATTGGTCTCTACGCTCTTGAATCTCTCCAATATCTTGCTCCGCTGGTCTTCATGCAGGGCGTTGCACCCGGCCGTGAACATCGGGAACAAGAACCCCGTCTCGGCGGATCCTCCGGGTTGTATGGACTCCAGGCACACGATGATGCTTCGCACTGCCTCCTGAACGTCCGCATGCCCAGACGGCTTGCTAAGGATGCGCCTGTGCAGGTGAATGAGCCCGGCCCAGTGGAAGGCCTCGTTCATGAGGACCATCGCCTGTCTGTCCTTTGCCCCGACGCTCTGTATGTGCTTGCATGGAAGCGATGGTTCATTCATGCTATACAGTAGCTCCTGTTCGAGCAGCTTTGCCCGTTGAACGAACACGGGGCCCGGCGTCCAGGCGGACGGCGAAGGAGTGCTTGAGGTGAAGCGTTGCTCGTCGCAGCGGCGGGCCAGGTCGGCGATTTGCGCCAAGATCTGGACGCAGCTGGTAGTGAACCCCATGATGCAGTCAATCTCATACCGGTCATCGCTGGCGCCGTGCATCATGTACTCAAGCAGCCAGAACCTTGACGAATCCTCGTCGGGCGTTCCGCCGCTTAGACATCCCAGGACGTCCAAATATGCGAACCAGCTCCACAGGAAGGCACATACACGATCCTCTTCCAATCTATGCGCCGTCCTGCGTAGGTCGGCTAACCGCCTCCACATAAGGTCCCGGGCTAGGCTAAGGTGCCGCTGCCAAGGTATGTCGTAGCCGAACGCCGTGGGGGAGATGATCTCGAGCGACGCGAGCATGATGGCGGTCGCCAGGCTCGTGTTTGAAATGATTTGCTCCTTGTCGCTAAGGGCCTGTCGCAGGGCCGGAAAGATGTCCTGAACCCAGAGAGCGATTCTCATCTGCGGCTCTTTCTGACCCAGAAGCCTTGCTCGATGAGCAGCTGAGGCAGGCTGTTAGACAAGATGAACGGGACCAATGCAGACCGACTTGCCTGAATATGCCAGAAGCAAACTGAGTAGATGGTCGTTCCTGACTGCCATTTGTGGTAGAACGGTGCGGAAAGGGTTGGATTTGGGATCGTCATAGGGCACGAGAACTACTCTTGAATCAGCCGATTTTTCCGTATTGAGGCCATAAAATTCCACCTGCCTTTGGCTGTGTGACTAAGAAAATGGTGCTGTTTCTCAACGTTATTCCTTGATGGCTACATTGCTGCCACCACTTTACTTACGAAGTACTGCAAATATGTCAGCCGTTGTGTCGAGATGAACTGAGAGACCTTATCTTACCAGAAGATTCATGGAATTATCACGAAGCCTTTCGGTCGTCAGTGTCTATCGATATAAGCCAAAAAATGAGACTCACTTGGGCGGTAGAGGTTGGAGGTTGTGTGGTATCCGTATCGGAACAGGTTGGCTATAGTATCCGTCTCCCACAGAGGTGGCATGTGTTAGTTCAAAACGCCATGGCTCCTTGTTGTGCACACCAACGGGGAAGGCAGAATCATGTGGAACGTATGTAGTCATCTGAGAGATGGCTCTGAAGTCATCGTTGTGGTTAATATCAGTATCTTTGATGCCATGATCATACCCATAGAACACTGCTTCGTCTGCTTCATCTGCTCCGCCTTCAATAGTTTCTGAGCCAAGAGGCGTACCCGAAGACAGTGAGACGCTGGTACTACGACCATAAGGGGTTCTTGGTGAGCCTGATAGCAAGTAGTTCACCGATAGTCGACTGCTCCCTGGAGATACGGGTGATGGCAGGCTCAGTATAGGTGATCTTGTGTCATCTTCAGACCTAAGAACCAGCGATACCGGCGTTAATGGAGAGCCAACAGATGTGGAGCCTGTGCGGGAGCGGAGACGAGACACTGGAGGACTGGACCCCGTCAAGGATGCCGGCGAGGAAATATAGCTGTGCTGGCGCGGTCCCCCGGAGTCACTTGATTCAGCCAGCGACCTAGTTCTTTTGTGGGCTATCGGAAGTATCCCGGTGTCTTCCGGAACGGTCTGATGGAAAATCGGCATTGAGGTGAAGCTGTCAACGGTATGCTGAGCAGACATGGGAGATGGCGCGAGTGTCTGCGCCTGTCTCCGAGGTATCGCGTGTAAAGAATCGGGTTCTACCTTGTTGGGGTAATCTTCCAAGGCCCCAAGAGGTTCTAGCTTTCTTTTGCCAGGCTCGACACTCTGTGGAGCGGTTTGAGATCGTCTTATAGTGGGCTTGGGGCGGATTTGCGGAACAGAGTTACTTATGGGAAACGTATGACTGAAAGACGATGGTTGAAACTGTACGGGAGCTTTCGGCGACTGGGCAGTCTCTGTTGCTATTCCGAAAGAGAGTGATCTTTTTGTCCGACGACCCTCCCAGTTCAGACGCACACTATAATCGCATGTCTCCCCCGTCTTTTGACAACTGATGAGTGTTAGTCTGGATTTGTGCCGTATCCAACAGAGTGATCTGTCGAGAAAGGGTTCGGATTGGAGGGACATGGAGTGGGCATGACAATAAAGGATACCATGCAGGATAATTTTAATTACAGACTGTTATCGCCTGGGCGATGGACCATATAATGTATGTAACGAGACTATTAGGTAGCAAGGAACAAGTATGAGAAACACCGCCAAACCACCCTTTCAAGTTTTGAATTCGCAGTTCCGGAGAGCAGACAAAACTTTGACTTACTTTATACATGTCGGATGCTCCTCGCCACACTTCACCTTTCGTGCTTTACATGGCCTGCTGGCTGGTCAGTCACTGCTCCACAAAAACACCAAGGAACTCTGCACGCAGTGGCTGGCACTCACCAGCATCCATTTCGACTTCGGCGTTTTGGCTCTGGTGCTCCTGGCTTCTTTGGGCGTGGCATCCTGAGACCAAAGACGTCAGTCCCCGCGATGAGAAGAGGGACGAGCCGAACCGAGGCGCGCGGGGTCGAAGGTGAAATGGATGATTGGCTAGTTCATGTTACGCGAACTTGTAGCGGTTGTACAAAAGGAGGGCGTCTGCTTCTACACAATCTCCATTCGGAGAGGAGAGTTGAGAGGCTGTCTTCTCTATTTACGTTACCCGTGACGTGAATGAGATACAGACAGCGATCGGAAAGGGAAATAACGTCGTGCCAGTTTTGTAAACCGCGTCAAGACCGAGTTGAGTCCCGACCGACCACTCAAGTACGACGGCCATTGGCGGGTGGAATCAGGCCCGAATTGGGTTGCGGTGATGCAGGCCGATTACGGACGGTCAGCAGCCTAAAGGCGGTCTCTTGCATCCACGTGAGCAAAGGACAGCCTCACTCGGCAGTTGGATGGACTCAAGTGGCTCTGCGGCCGCATCGTGAAAGCCATTTGTTCATGTGCCATCTCGTCAGGCTTGCGGGGATGGTGCATGGCCGCATTTCTTTTTCTCACTGTAACCCCAGCGTAAGGGCGTACGGTCGCGTACCGAATCCATTTGATCTCATTTCATTTCATTTCGTTAGCCGCCCTGCTGGCAAGCCCGCTGCTTTGCCGATTAAACTATGTCGATGTTGAGGATCTTGATATCCTCCTCTGGCTTCTCCTTGTATGTCCGTGCGTTCTCGATTTTGTGGATAACGTCCAGTCCCTGAGTAGCACGCCCGAAAATAGTGTGCTTTCCGTCCAGCCACGGCTGCATTAACAACTGTCAGCTGCGTTCTGATTCGAGGGGATGTAGTAACTGAGACACAAATCCCCAGCCTGACCACTCCCTAGCCTCTCCGGTCCGTTTACGTGCTTGTAGATGGTAGAAGGAAAGGCATTGGGGGCAAGGCGAGGAAAGGACTAGATGGAACAATAGGGAGTGTGAAACAAAGGCAGAGCATAAGGGAGTGGGGGTTGGGGGGTTGCCGAGACACAGAACAATCTTCTTCCGCTCTGGTTGCCTAGGCTTTTTCGTTACTCGTGTAGGGGACGTTCGCACTCACCGTCTTTTCCGTGGTGATAAAGAACTGACTGCCATTGGTGTTTGGACCTGCATTAGCCATGCTGACTGTGTACGGCTTGTCGTGCTTCAAGCTACTAAACTCATCCGCGAATTCCTTGCCCCATATACTTTCGCCACCGGTGCCATCTCCAAGGGGATCTCCGCCCTGGATCATGAACTTGCGAATCACGCGGTGGAAGATTGTGTTGTTGTAGTAGCCTCTCTTCGAGTGAGTGACGAAATTCTCCACGGCCTTGGGAGCAGCATCGGGGAACAAGCGGAGGTGAATGTCGCCATAGGTCGTGTGGATGACTGCTCCGGTGCCAGTCTCGGCCCTTTTGGCTTCTGCAGCCTTCTTGTGACCCAGAATGGTGGGCTTCTCGTTTTGGACATCCCTCACCGATTTAGAGATATCCTCATCGTTAGTGAACATGTAAAACCGCTGCTTGTTCACTCCTGTCGCAATGAGAATGGGGTCCCTGGACTCGGACTCCTGGAGTAGAGGGTTGGCAGAAGCACCCATCTCGACCGTGGTGATGCCTTTCTTCTGTGGCTGACCTTGATAGATCGCCAGGTTGACCGCTCTAAAGTTCTCATCTTTGCCGTATACCTTGACAATCTGGTTAGTGTAGGTGTTGAGCACTTTGACGCCGACTATTGAGCCGTATATGATAAAGTTGCCAGACTCGTCAAAGATTACGTTTGCCTTGTTCTTGTATACTGCAGAGTCGATCTCCCGCTCGACGGCAAACCGGCGACCAAACTCGACGGTCTCCAATTTTTGGAGGGCCGATCCCACTTGTTGCATATCCTCGATAACTTGAAGCGACTCATCGTACGTTCGGTACAGTTTGCCTGATGCAAAGTCGAAGATTCGGATCTTTCTGTCTGGTTGGGAGAAGGTTGCAAATTGCTTCCCAGTGGGCGAGATGGTAATTGATGTTGGAACCGACTTGGCCTTTTTGAACTCAAACAAGCTTGTGGAGGCCTTGAACTCGAAGACATTGTCCGGCTTCTCGTAGTCACCACCCGGCCGCCAGTACTCCAACATACCCTTGTCGTCCGCGGACAGCACACAATCATACACGCCGTTGAAGACCATGATAGACACTGGGCTTCTATGCAACGACTTGATGGTGTGAATAGGGTCTTGTCTCTCGCCTCGCCCGTCAAAAATGTGAATGCTAGAACTGGAGTCCTCGGAAACAGCAAGCAAAGGAAGGGACGCCCCTCTGTTGTGAACCCAGCAAACACAGCGAGGCACGAAGTCCAGCTTGAGCATGGACAGGAGATCAAAGGTGATGACGTCGAAGATCTTGACAGTCTTGTCTGCACCAGCGGTTGCGAAGCTCCTTCCGTCTAGACTGACAGAGACGGATTTGATTTCGTCGATATGCGCCTTGAATTCCTTTACAAATTCGATTCCCTGAGCCACCTTTTTCCAGAACTTGACGACGCCATCGATGGAGGACGTGATGATGAAGTCCGTGAGTGGCGTGACGGTCACGAAGGCCAGCTGCTCCTTATGCATCAACGACTTTGAGTATCGGGTCGATTTGGGAAGGGCAGAAACGTATAATTTCTCGTAGGGAAGAACTCGACGCTTCTTCTTTGGGGCTTCTGAGGGAAGCTGGGGCCCCATGTCGTCGTCAGAAGAGCTGTCTATTGGGGTCGTTAGCATTTTCAATCCTTCCTTCTCTCCTCATATTTGTCGCTTTCGCCACCAACGCAGTGTGCTTCTTCCTGATGCCTTCTCATTGCCGCTCCGGGTGATTCAACGCAACAAATGACAGGGGACGAAGCGAAGCAAAGAGCAGGCGGCTCTTCGAGCCGTCTTCCAGTTCAAGCAGCACGCACCATCATCCTGAGTAGCGAAGTCCTCGTGGGACCTCTTATTCCCCTTGGCGTCCTCTTCGGCCATCGTTTTGGTGCAATAAAGCGCGGCAAGCGCAGAAGGTCGCAAGGAAATTGGTTTAAACCGGCGAACTTTGACGGCTTCGCGACTGTAAGGCTGAAATTTCCCGAGCTGGGAGCTCGCAAGGATGCTTTCATAAAAGCCAATCAAAACAGGCATTGAATAACCACTAGACAGCCTCGCTGCGAGACCCACTTGGTGGGCTTATCGTCTTATCTTAGCGTCCGCCAGCATATGCATGTTGATGATGATGGGTCTTCTTCCAGGTTTGGCTTGCCGGGGCTATCGGCGTGGAGCTTTGTGAGATCACAGCCAGGAACGTGAACCACGCTGGCAGGGACCCCATGAATGAAGTGACCTCATGACGATGACGAAGCCTTTTGATGCCGACGGACAGTAGCAAGTTGCCGCAGTCCCGTCAACCTAACAATGCATTAAACCTACTATACCTTGATTGGCTGCCGAGAGCGTACTCGGAATAAATGGAAAATAAGTGAGATTCGTGGTTCTATTCCCTGTCTAGGATAGTTCGTCTCCACGCAACCAAAAGGACAGTCTTACTCAGACATTGTCTCCCTGCGACATCCCTCAACAATTCATTTCCTTTCGAGCTACCGTCTCATCGCGAAAACTGCCATCCCATCCCTCTTCACAACAACTAACATTTGAACCACCACAACTTCGGACCAACAAAGCTCATCGTCAATTGGGAGCGTATCAAGATGGGAAAACACAGATTGCAGCGGTTGGAGTCGCCGTCTCGATCAGTCTCCTTGGCCTTGCACGCTGCCGGCATTCTCTCGTTCCTTGCGTCGTTCAACTTCCTCAATGGCCTCACTCATGATATTGCTATGGGCTTCGGGGGAACTACCAGCACCTCACCAACATTGGGTTGGCTTTGTCATTTGTGACCTTTGTCACGGCACTGTTAGCTGACATCACACTGAGTCCTTCGTTGTATTCTGTGAAGAACGCTCTGTCAACTACGGCGGCACCACTGGAAGTCCTCATCAGCATCCTATACTGGGGGATTCGGTCCATCGACAAGAGGCTGTTGATACCGGAGGGTTACGAGCTCCATTGGCTGCCAGACGTCGGTTTTCATCTGGTTCCAGCTGTCGTCCTAACTCTCGACCTCGTCCTGTTCAGCCCGCCATGGACAATCCGTGCGTACTCGGCCATGTCGATCAGCATGGCTTTTGCCTTCCTGTACTGGGGCTGGGTTGAGTTCTGCTACAGCAAAAACGGATGGTGAGTAGTGTCACGTTTGACAGGATGCGTTTTCAGTCCGCTGACAGACAGGTCGCAGGTACCCCTACCCTATCTTTGATCTCCTAAATACCGTGCAGCGAGTTGGGTTATTCACCTTCTCTGCGGCATTGATGACGGCCAGCACGAGTCTTCTGAAATGGGTATACGGACGGTTCAACGGCTACGAGCAGATGAAGGAGGAAGCTTACAAGCCCCTGAAGAAGACGCTGTAGTGTAGGTTTGCGGTGTCATATACGGATACGAGGCGGCTATTCATAATTGGTGGCGAGGTCTCAGCGATATCGGTGGTGTTGAGATGCAGAACTAATACAGTAGATTGGATGTGGCTAGACTTTTTCACTCCCCATTAGACTAGGAAAGGCGCCTCAAGAAGGAAAGTAGTTACCATGTTCTTTGATTCACCATCCCCGATAGGTTGAATGTGAGAGGTGTGAACTACCTACTGGTAAGGTAGTCATCCCAAGTTGATCGATCCAGCATTGACTGCAGCTTGCGCCTGCAAGCGCTCGGTCCTCGGGGCTTTAGAGGGTCTCCCACAGGCGGTGAGACCCAGTTTGTGGTGCCACTCCGGCCGGCTGAACAGGTCCACAGGGGACGTCACAGCTATAGTCAATGACAACGGTGCAGCAAGGATGCCCCTCGCGCTGGTGGCGGGCTGCACTAGATCAATTTTTTTTGGGCCGTCTTCGGCGGGGTACCTGCAGGGTGGCACTGGAAATGAGTCTTCGCCCATTCGACTGCTCATCTACCGGTAGTCATGTTCTCGGCCCTCGAAGCTGCCCTCTCCAACGCAGAAATCTAAAGAACAGAGAAGGGGTAGGTGGAAAAAAAGTGTAATTCAAACGAGAAAGGTTACTTGTCAATTGCCGAAGCGTTTCTTTCCCAGCCCAAGTCTCATTTTGAATCCACACTCAAATTGCGTTCTTCGTCATAGCCACCATGTCTGTAAGTTATCGCTCGCCTTCCAGCCTGCTGCTCGCACAAATCTGACTCACTCGTCACCGTAGAGCTTCTTCATCGAGAACAAGAACGTCGGCAACAAGGCCGAAAGCGAAGACTGGAGAAGTAAGGAATGGGGTTAGACATTTTCGCACATCGTTCGTGGGCTAATTGGTTCTCTAGTTCGCGGCTACAACCCTCTGACTTCTCCCGATCTCCTCCAACATGAAATCGCCCAAACTGCCAAATCGAAGCAGACCGTCCTCCAGGGGCGCGAGGAGGCTGTTGCCATTGTCAACGGAACCGACGAGAAGGAAAGACTCTTGGTCATTATTGGCCCTTGCTCGATCCACGACCCTAAGGCCGCCCTTGAGTACTGCGATTTGCTGCTCCAAGCCAAGGAGAAGCACAAGGATGAGCTACTCATTGTCATGCGCTCCTACTTGGAGAAGCCGCGTACAACAGTGGGATGGAAGGGCCTGATCAACGATCCGGATATCGACAACAGCTTCAAGATCAACAAGGGACTGCGCATGTCAAGACAGCTCTTCGTCGACCTGACAGACAAGGGTATGCCCATTGCCAGCGAGATGCTCGATACCATCTCGCCCCAGTTCCTCGCCGACTTGCTGTCCGTTGGCGCAGTCGGCGCAAGAACCACCGAGAGCCAGCTACACCGAGAGCTGGCCAGCGGTCTCAGTTTCCCTGTTGGTTTCAAGAACGGTACTGATGGCTCTCTCGGAGTCTCTATTGACGCTATCGGCGCTGTCAGACACCCTCACCACTTCCTTTCCGTGACCAAGCCGGGCGTCGTCGCCATTGTCGGCACCGTGGGCAACGAGGACTGCTTCACCATTCTGAGAGGCGGCACCCGGGGCACCAACTACGATGCCAAGAGCATTACGGAGGCCAAGGCCGCCTTGGAGAAGGCCGGTCTCCCCCAAAGACTCATGGTTGACTGCAGCCACGGCAACTCTCTGAAAAACCACAAGAACCAGCCCAAGGTTGCTGCTGATCTCGCTGGGCAGATTGCCGGTGGCGAGACTGGTATCATGGGTGTGATGATTGAGAGCAACATCAACGAGGGTGAGTACTGCCCGGACCGCTTCGTTCAGTGGCATAAGCTGACCATTAGCAGGCAACCAAAAGGTACCCAAGGAAGGCAAGGAGGGCCTGAAGTACGGTGTCAGCATCACGGATGCATGCATCCACTGGGACGACACTGTCACTGTTCTCGACCAGTTGGCCGACGCCGTCAAGCAGCGTCGCGAGGTCATTGGCAGAAACGGCCATGCTTAAGGAGTTTCTCACCATTTATCTTCGCGGGCTGGGTTTCAAGTTGTGGATGCATGGTAACCAACCGTCTGAGAGATAGGTGAGGATTTGTGTGTGCATATACCAGAGCGTGGTTGCAGGCAGTTATACAAGGCCTCAGAGCCTTATTGATGGCGAAAAGTTTTGTAGTTTGTCAGAATAAAATCCGATTGATACCCAGCCTCCGGATTACTTGGTTTCTCGTTGATGATGCAATGAGTCATGAGGATGGGATAAGCAGTTTCGACAGTGTTTTCCCCTCTAGTGGTTGCCTAGTCTTGGGATGGATTGCTTGTGGGCTTGAGCTAATGGAGTTAACATCATGAAGAGAACAAAACGTGTGTTCAATGTGGTGTCGTGATATGCATGTAGATCGCTGTAGTTACATCCGAGCCAGGCCAATCAAGCGGAGCATATTTCTTAGTCTGGGCGTGACGGAAAGCCACAGCTGTTGTTGTGGACAGTCGGTCGGAACTACTCCTACTGAACTGGCGGCGACCGGGCAACTACGGGTAAGAGGATGGAAGCGAAAAGCGGCCGGAACGGAAGATGTCATTGACCGTTCCCATTAGCCAATGAGAGGCAAGCCATACCTAAGGCACTCGAAAACTGCCTCAAGCGATTTTCTCCTGCCTCGACTACTGTACCTTAGAAACGACCTCCGCCACGAGAGGACCAACCACCAATTGCCCCATCATTTTGTTCGCGGCTGTCTCTGTAGCTGCGGATACGGTTCGCCCATCATGTTGGCAAGGTCCTGCTTGCGCTCGGCGCGCACATTCACAAATGGCGCCGTCACGATTTCCAAGGTACGCAGATGAGCTGATCACGATTCCAATCTCCCCGAGGCAATCCGACCTACAGCCATCAGACACGCCGGACTTGCCTCAATGGCCATTGGCGGACATCAATGAGACTGGAGTAGAAGACTAACGATAATTGACGCAGCGTGCGGCCTCTACTTCCAGCGGTGCTGGTGCCGAAGCTTCCCCGTCCCGACTGAACCTCGCCGCCATCACGTCGACGTCGCTCGCCCTGGGCTCCATGGCCTGGTACTACCACCTCTACGGACCCTCCGCGAACGCCGCGTCGCCTGCTGAGGAGGGGTGAGTCATAATTGTCCGAACACGGTTGCTGCGGGATGGTTATTCGAATGCCGGAATCCCTTGGATTGAGGCATAATCGCGAACGACGCCGAGCAGCCAACAACAAAAGAACATTCAGCTAAACTATCATTTCCAGTCTGCACCCTACCAACTACCCCTGGGTTCACGAGCAGTGGTTCAAGACCTTCGACCACCAGGCGTAAGGAAACACCCTTTTCTTTCTTTTGGCTCTTGCCCGGCATGACGCTTACACCCATTTTGCAGTCTCCGCCGTGGTTTCCAGGTCTACCGCGAGGTCTGCGCGTCTTGCCACTCCCTCAGCCGTGTCCCCTACCGAACTCTCGTCGGTACCATCTTGACTGTCGACGAGGCCAAGGCCTTGGCCGAGGAGAACGAGTACCCCGGCGAGCCCAACGAGCAGGGCGATATCGAGATGCGTCCCGGCAAGCTTTCCGACTACATGCCCGACCCCTACAAGAACGAGGAGGCTGCCCGCTTCGCCAACAATGGTGCCCTCCCTCCCGATTTGAGTTTGATCGTCAAGGCCCGCCACGGCGGATGCAACTACATCTTCAGCTTGTTGACCGGTTACCCTGAGGAGCCTCCCGCTGGCGCCGTCGTCGCCCCTGGCATGAACTTCAACCCCTACTTCCCCGGTACCGGCATCGCCATGGCCCGTGTTCTCTACGATGATCTCGTCGAGTATGAAGACGGCACCCCCGCCTCAACCTCTCAGATGGCCAAGGACGTTGTCGAGTTCCTCAACTGGGCCGCCGAGCCCGAGATGGATGACCGCAAGCGCATGGGTATGAAGGTGCTCGTCGTCTCGGCCTCTCTCTGGGCTCTCAGCGTCTGGGTCAAGAAGTACAAGTGGGCCTGGGTCAAGACGAGAAAGGTCGCCTACGACCCTCCCAAGGACACCAAGGTTCGCCACTAAATGATCATGGCAACAATTCAGTTGTCTCTGTGTATGTTATACTAGGCTCTCTAAAACAGCTCCTTTGTTGGTGGAGGCGGCAGAGACGAGATTCATCGTTGGGAGCAAACTGGGGAGCGATAGAGTGTAAATCAGATGGTCCTTTTTCAATACCTGACTCCTTGATAATGACAAGTCTTCTAAGTTGATCCACATGCTTGTTGGTCTTGTGAAAAGGAAAGTGATGGCACATTGCTAGCAAGCTATCCCAAGAGAACTGACAGACTCTCTAGGCTTTGGCACGGCGAGGCATGACCGATTCGGGAATGGCCACCTACCGATGCATCGCTTGGCCCGAGATCAGGCACAAAGAGCATGACATTGATGCAGCCAAACGAGACGGCAAGCAAGAGCGTCTCCTGCAACAAGGTCTCCGAGCGGGTCCATGGCCAAAATGAAATCTAGTTGAGATAAAAATGCGACATAGGTGGCTCTCGTTTTGAGTACACTTGTTTCATCAGACCCTCCGCATTCAGCCGGGCTCGTCTCTCACATCTCGTCATGATATAAATGGTGTCGATATATGTGCAATATTAACCGGCCTGACTTGTCATTTGCCGTGAACCAACCTGTAAGTCCCTGGGCCATAGTACAGTGAGGGGAGGTGGCCAATGGTCCTGCTTCAGGGGGGTTAATTGGTGAGAGAGTCACATTATGTGGGTCGCCGCAAAGGTAGCTTAGCAACCCGGAAGGAAAGAAAGCTGCGGATTTTTCCAGCGGCCGGTGTGCTTCCCGGCCAGCTGGATTCAGCGCTGAGTCCGCTGACGCGGGCGTGCTGACAGAAAGTGATAGAGCCTACCGGTCGTGCCCACCGCTTCCCTCAGTGGGCAAATCACCTGGCACAAAAGCTCCGCGCCGTGCCTGGTCACATCATAAGCACGCTGCGAGGCCTATCCACCTGTGAATGGGACTGGCCTATGTCTGCCTGTAGCTAGCAAGCAACACCACCACCACCACCACCACCACCACCACCACCACCACCACTCCAAGCAGAGCTGCGGAGTCAAGAAGAGTGAGCGAAAGAGAGACCTTCCACTCATTGTCATACCCTACTTGCCGTTTGACAGGTTCCTACTCTTTCCTCTTAGGGAAAATCCTAAACAGTTACTCTTGTCGATTTCAAGTTCTCTTATCGACCAGAGACCGTGAGGATTCTTATCAACGAAACCCAGCCGATCACGCATCGAAACCATTACCTTTGCTTTTCACCTTCCTCCTGCTACAAGTCTTCCCTCGCTTTTTCTCCCAACGACTCCAACGACTCCGTCCCTGGCATCCACTCGCTATTGCCAGCCAGCACCCAACCGATCCAGATGCCATCCGTTGCCGAGGAGCATCCCCGGCTGATGGCGCCCGGCAGGAAACGCAGACGGGATGTCAACGACTCCAGCAACGACCTGCAGCTACAAGGCTCTCTGTACGAGAAACTCGCCCAATACCACTCGGCCGCGGCCGCCGCGACGAACAACTGGAACGCTGACGGCGTGTTTGGAAGCAGGCCCGTTCAGCAACAGATCCAGCAGCAGCAGCAACAGCAACAACAAAACTTCTTCCCTCGCTTCCCCGGCAGTAGTAATGACCGAATGATATTCCAGTACGGCTTGCCGGCGAACACAAACACTGCCACAGAAGACTCCCACCAGAACCTCGACCCAGTGCCCCGGAAGATGGCTCCCCTCCCTATGCCTAAGCGACAGCGCATGTTCGACGAGGAGGGTGCGGATCTGGATAGCACGGATGGGGACCTTTCGACACAGCCCAGCAGTCCGAGACAACGGCGGAGTAGCAAATCACCGCCGGCGTCCCAACACAACTCCCGAAAAAATCAAGAAGGGACGGATGCAGCGGGCAATAGGTCAAAGACCCCCTCATCCCTAAGTCCCTGCCACATCTGCCACCGCCGGCCCACCAAGAAGTCAGACCTCGACTCCTTCGCCGACTGCCAGGGCTGTGGTCTGCGTTCGTGCTTCGTGTGCATCAGAGAGTGTCAGGGTTGGCGGAAGGACGGGCGACCCAGTAGCAGTGGCGGCACCGACCTGGTTCACGCGGAGCAAGAGCCGAAGCAAGGGGACACTGACCTCTCACGCTCATGTCAGATGGACGACGTCGATGACGACCGGCAACGACAGTCGAGGGATGGCGAAGAGTCGAAGCAGAATGTACAGTCACCGCGAGAGGACGGCTGGACGGGCGGCGGACACAGACAGATGGTCTGCAGCCGCTGCTGCATCGAGAAGGGTGCCGAGGGTGACGTCGTCTGTCTGGGTTGCCTCTCACGCATGGAGTCCATCTAAAGGGACGTGGCATGGAGAAGAAAAGGGGGGGTTCATTTGTTTTATAGCACAGCGTTCGAGGAGGGTTCTTTCTCCCCTTACCCTCTTCTGTTCATGTCTTTTCTTCATTTCAAATAGTCGATCCGCTCTCATGAAGGGCGATAAAGCGCACGACGCTGCTGATGAAGGCATGCATATCATCTGGTAATGGGAAATGTCGGGCATTGCCGAGGCAGCACAAGGGATTCAGCCTCACATCGGAGGAGGGGGGATACCATCAGGCAGTACGGGACCAAAGGAGGGGGTCGCAAATACGGCCCCTCGCACTAGTTAGGCTGGGCAGACTTCGAGGGTCTGGTGCAGATAAATGTAATTCTATGGTCAACAATACCAAATCAGTCAAATCAAACTAAAACCACATGGGCCCATCATTTAAATAGAGTCGATTCGAATCATCGCTGTAGCATTGATTCGCTCAGGCTTGTGTGATTCTTGTTGGCACATGGAAGCATGATCTAATTCCCTCTTTCTCGGGAACGAGGTATCATCATGCCCTTCTAGCCCTTCCCCGATCCGAAGCCTTGCCTATTCTTACAGCCTAAAACAGACATGTCGAACTCCGTTACCCTGCCCTTGCCGTCACTCTTTGGGTTTCCTTCCTTAGTTGTATTGCATGTAGCTGGCCGTTGAGTTGAACTTGAGGTTGGCCTTGATGACCTTGTCGACAGCGCTGAGGAAGTCCTTCTCCGTCGCCACCTTTCTTCGGGCACGAATAGCGAACATACCAGCCTCCGTGCAAACACTGCGAAGCTCAGCACCCGTAGCGTTGGGGCATAGACGCGAGATGAGCTCCCACCGGATGTCGCGCTCGACCGACATGCTCTTGGCGTGGATACGCAGAATGTTGGCACGACCCTCAAGGTCGGGCAGGGAAAACTCGATCTTACGATCGATACGACCCGGTCTCATCAGGGCAGGGTCGAGGGTAGAGGGTCTGTTGGTGGCAAACATGACCTTGATATTGCCGCGGGCGTCGAAACCATCGAGCTGGGTGATGAGCTCAAGCATGGTTCTCTGGACTTCGTTATCTCCGCCGGCACCGTCGTCGAAACGGGCACCACCAATGGCGTCAATTTCGTCGAAGAAGATGATGCATGCCTTCTTCGTCCGCGCCATCTCGAAAAGCTCACGCACCATTCTCGCTCCCTCGCCGACGTACTTCTGAACCAGCTCACTGCCGATGACTCTGATGAAGGTGGCATCCGTTCTGTTGGCGACAGCTCGGGCGCAGAGCGTCTTTCCAGTACCCGGGGGTCCGTAGAGAAGGGCACCCTTCGGAGGATCGATACCGAGGTTGACGAACCGCTCCGGCGAGAGGAGGGGCATCTCGACGACCTCTCGCAGCTTCTCGACCTGCTCCTTTGATCCACCAACATCCCCGTATGTAACATCAGGCTTCTCCTCGACAGTCATCATCGTAACGCTAGCATCGATCTTGGGCGGGAGCGGCAGGAGGATCTGGTACTTGTTCCGGTCGACACCAACTCGCATGCCCTCCTCGATATCTGTAGGGCTCACTCTCTCGCCAAGCTGGACGACGAACTTGGCGATCTGCTTGACGTTGATGACATATTTGCTCTTGGAGTCGTCCTTCTCGTCCGGGATAATCTTCGTACACCGCGCAACCTGGAGGGGTTGTTCTTCTGACATGCGTTGCCGGTCTGCTGCTACGTCCCAAAGGTGAGGAGGGGCAAGTCCCGTGTCGGATTCCTATTTTTTTTTAAGTCAGATCGAGTTCCATCCACCCGGCACAGCACAGCTACCTTGACACCGATCTTCTCATCTACACTTGTTTGCTTCTCCTTGATCTGTTGCTCGAGCTTCTTAATGGCAGCACCGTACGGCGCAGCGCCGTAGGTCTTCAGCACCTGGATATCTCTGAGCGAGTAATGTCAGTCAACAGTCCCGTGCAACCCGAGGCCGATGGGACAACAAACTCGTCGGTCAATGGTGTGATCTTCTTCTCTTCGACCTCGTCATCGGCGTAGGTCTTTTGGTATTTCTCCCAGTTCTGGCCGGTAGCGGAAGGCTAATACTGGAGTTAGCACCCGTCGTCGGTGGTCACGCTTGCAGGGTCAATACCATGATGTAGGATGAGGACTCAACGTCCTACTGCCGAATCTCTGTTTCGATTAAGTTCTTTTTGGGAGAAGTTCGAGTTGAAGGCGGTATCGACGTAGAATCGTGGGGTCTCGAGGAAGTGGTCGCGTTGATTGTTAAAGAGTACAGAAGGTATGCCGCTGTAGGTGGGTTCGAGGTGGTGATGGGAGACGGTTCCGTAATCCAGGTTGCCTTGAGCTCCAAAGCACGGGCCACAAATGCGAGGCTGCTGTGGAGCTAGGCTGGCTGGGGGAACATACAAGCAGAGTACCGGGGCAGGAACAACCTAGCGCCCGCTAAAAAATATCCCACCGCTTGGGGGGGTTGCTACCTGAGAGAAAGTGGGCGATCGCAAAAGAAGGCGACAGCGGGACAGGACGACGAAGATACCGATACCTTTGCATCCACTGGTCAGCTTGCTCTTCCGCCCTCGAATACCTCAAAACAAGCACAAAACTAGTCAGAACCGTCAATATGGCCACAGCTGCACCACCCCCGGCCTCGGGAGGCTCTGGAAATGCTACCTTCAAGGTACGACCTGGACTTGCACTGCACCACCCATGACGAAGCTTCAGGAGCTTGTGCTAACAGCCGCATAGGATAAGGAGAAGCCCGTCGCCGTTCGCTCTTCCAACATTGTTGCTGCCAGAGGTGAGCAACACGGCCTACTTTCAAGCTTCACGGACCGGAAGCTAACCTCCCTACAGCCGTCGCCGATGCCATCCGAACCTCCTTGGGCCCCCGCGGCATGGACAAGATGATTCGTAGCGGAAAGGGCGAGACTATCATTACCAACGACGGCAACACAATGCTCAAGAGCATGTCCGTTATGCACCCGACAGCGAAGATGTTGGTCAATCTTTCGGCGGCACAGGATGTGGAGGCAGGAGATGGCACAACATCCGTGGTCGTCATCTGCGGTAGCTTGTTGGGTGCTGCTGACAGACTCTTGTCAAAAGGAATCCACCCCTCTGTTATCTCAGAGTCTTTCCAGAGGGCTGCTGCCGCAGCCGTCGAGGTTCTCCACGGCATGTCACAGCCCATTTCTCTCACCGACACAGCATCCCTGCTTCAGGCGGCCAACACATCCCTCTCGTCGAAGATCGTGTCGCAATACTCTAACATCCTCGGCCCTATGGCTGTCAACTCCGTTGTCAAGACCATCGACCTGAAGACGGCAGACAATGTTGACCTGAAGAACATCAGAATCGTCAAGAAGGTTGGCGGGACCATTGAGGACAGTGAGCTGTCAGATGGTTTGATCCTGACACAGCCCGTCCTCAAGGGTGCGGGTGGCCCTGCGAGAATCGAGAAGGCGAGAATCGGCTTGATCCAGTTCCAACTCAGCCCTCCCAAGCCCGATGTACGTTTTCCCTTTTAATACCCCTATTCGCAGCTGCTGACCAATCAAGATGGAAAACACCATCCAGGTCAACGACTACAGGCAGATGGACAAGATCGTGAAGGAGGAGCGTCTTTACCTCCTTAACATGGTCAAGAAGATCAAGAAGGCCAAGTGCAATGTTCTTTTCATTCAGAAGTCCATCCTTCGCGATGCTGTCAACGACTTGTCTTTGCACTTCCTTGCCAAGCTTGGCATTCTCGCTGTCAAGGATATCGAGCGTGACGAGATCGAATTCATCTGCAAGTCGACTGGCTGCAAGCCGATTGCAGACATCGATTCCTTCACGGAGGACAAGCTCGGCTCGGCCGACCTCGTTGAGGAGGTCCAGTCCAACGGAGCTCGCATGGTGAAGGTTACGGGCGCTAAGGCGACCGGCAAGACCGTGTCTGTCGTCGTTCGTGGTGCCAACTCCCTCATTCTCGATGAGGCTGAGCGCAGTCTTCACGATGCCCACTGCGTCGTACGCTGCCTGGTGAAGAAGAAGGCCCTGATTGCCGGTGGCGGTGCTGCCGAGATTGAGATTGCGTCCCAGCTCTCCAAGCAAGCTCGTGAACTCACGGGCACTGAGGCCATCTGCTGGAAGGCTTTCGCGGATGCCATGGAAGTCATTCCCACCACCTTGGCTGAGAACGCCGGTCTCAACAGCATCAAGGTCGTGACCGAGCTTCGTCACAGACACGAGCTTGGGGAGAAGAACGCGGGTGTCAGTATCAAGTCCGGCGGCGTCAACACAAACATCTCCAAGGAGAACGTTCTTCAGCCTCTGCTGGTGAGCACCAGCGCTATTGAGTTGGCCGCTGAGACGGTGAAGATGATCCTCAGAATAGACGACATCGCCCTCACGAGATAAAGGGGACGACACGAGTCACGAAATGAAAAACAAAAGTAAAAGGGGAAATCCAGGCTTGATGATCATGTACATTACGGCTACCTTGGCTTAATTGCGGTGTAGACGTGGGCCTGGAATTGAGGCGTCAAAACTATTAGAAGCTGAGAGAGCAATTGATCATAACAAGATACCTTGATGACACCTCAATACTGGTTACAATCCGTCCTTTGTATTCTGTGGCGTTTGTTTTGTTCCTTGCCATATACGCCCGACAGACAATGGTGCTATTTTATGACATTGGATGGTCTGGATCAGTAATACATACCTCCACTTATATAGGATTGCAATCGCCGGGGCCAATCTACATTGTTAATTGTGTCAAATCCGTCGCACCAAAGCAACCGCAATCACATCAAATCTTAGTTGCCGTGGAATGATGAGGTCTACGAAGGAAACAGAGGAAAAAGGTTGACGCTCCACCAAGACGTCAATGTACCTTTTCGCGGTAACACCCCTGTGTACCGTCTCGATCCTTGATTTTCTCATGTGCGTTGCCAAGACTTCCCGGAGAGTTTGTGTTGGTGTTTTCCTCATGCCGGTTGCACATGATGATTCCTGATGTGAACCTAAGTCATGTATGCGGCAGCAAACCAGTTTCGGGATCTGTAAATAATTAAAATGCCAAACCACGTGAAGCATTCCAGAGATGCCTGCCCGTGAAGATGTCAAGGGAGCTACTGCTATCACCTCCTATCCCTATCTTAGCAAAGCGCTCGGATATGACACTGGCTTCAAAGACTAACTACCTGACTCAATGCTGTATGCATTTGGAAAGCTCCTGTGTTTGGTCTTCTTGATAGGCATAGGCTGAATGGCGCCTGTAGTCTAAGCATATGGAAGCGTATTGCAGCAACTCAGTACACATAGTGCTGATTGGCTACACAATGGTTTCGATATTATGAAAATCGGCAAACGCTAACATATGATTCAAGCAACTATACCATATACAGCAGACATAAACAGATTCCAAAGCATACGGTCCATAGATCAGAGATCAAACCACACTACCGGGCCACGCAACAAAAGTATCATAACTACGAACCCTTGCTGGGGTCTAAAGGGGATACAAGCAAGGTATGCAGACAAAAGGGGCTGGGCTGTTAAACGCCGACTACATACGTTACTTGTCCAAGACTAGGAAAAGAAATCAAAAGAAAAAAAAAGGATAATTTGTCAATCGTGGACGGGAATTGAGCCCGACGTGGCTGGTTACTGTTAGTCGGGGCGTTCGTGATGCGTCACGGGCCGGGAATGCACTTACGGGTCGAACCCACAACCTTGAGATTAAGAGTCTCACGCTCTACCGATTGAGCTAGCCGGGCAGGCTATTGAGGTTGGTGGATGGGTTTCACGATGGGCCGGAATATGGCGGAGGGTGACGGGGTGGTGGATTGTTGTGCGGGCAGAATCCGAGGGCACGGAAACCCGCAAAACGGGGTGGGCCGGGCCTATCGCTCCTCGTTCCGGGGTTGATCACGGACTTGGGCAACTCATGGCACGGCTGAGCCGATACGAGTCGGGTCCTGTTGGGCGGTCGATGGAGACGCTCGATTAAAAATAGAGGAATCAGGTTCCGAATTATACAAGGTTTGGTAAATTACTGCTATGAACTACCAACATGTCCAAGCCACATCCAACTGACTTGCATAGAAGATTGAGGCCGAAGTCTTTCCTGTCTTGAGTTCCTTTCCCAACGCCAGAATGGTATATATATCGATGTCATCGATTCGATCAAGAGATCAAGAAGGGGTGTAAAAAAGCCAGCTCGGCTGAATACAAAGAAAATAAAAAGGGGGGGTAAAAATCCGGGGTGGGGTTTCTTTTCGAGGACACACATCGCATACGTTTCAACATTTTAGCCACTCGCCACTTTCGTAGTCATCATCGCAGTCATCTCCCGCTTTCTATCTCGCCTGGCCAAAGGAGTACTGGTGCGGTGGCGGGCTCTTCACTGGCGCATCGGCGTAGGCCCCGGGAATCGGCACGGCATCGTAGACAGGCTCGTTAGCAGCCATCGGCGCATGCTGCTGGGCCTGCCCTTGCGGCGATTGTTCCTGCTGCGATGTCTGGGTTTGTTGCTGGAAGGGGAATGACGGAGCAGGGCCTTCTGGAGAAGTGGGTGTGAAGGAGCCCTGTCCGGGCTTGGTCGCCGAGCGAGCCTTGGACGGAGGGGCTTGGAGCTGGAAAGCGGGCTTGGACTTGCTGAAGCTGGACTCGGGCTCGACGAAGCGGGTTCCCGGGGTAAACGGGGAGGCCTCCTCAATGCGGGACAGGTTCTCAAAGGTCTTGTCGGGGTGGCGGGGAGACAGGGCATACTGGGAGTACAGGCCGGGAGACTTAAGGCCGGGGGTGTTCGGGGCGGACTGGGTCCGGAGCTGGGCGAGGTAGAGATCAGAACGGGCGCGGTCGCGCATGTCCATAGACTTGTGGAGGCGGCGCTTGGTGTAGTATCGGTAGAAAACGATGCTGTAGAGCAGGACGCAGATGACATCGATGACGATTTCGATAACCATGCAGATGAGGGCCCAGTTCTGGAGTCGGCAGATGAGGGCGTAATCGACCTTCTCGCCGAAGACCTCGGCGCGCTTGTTCTCCTTGCACGACCAACCCCACATGTCCTTGCCGCCGCCATTGCTTCGACTCGCCTGGAAGATGCCGGCGGAGATAGCCCACATGACCATGGAAAGGATGAACCAGCCGATAGAGAAGAGAGTGTAGTAGGTGGCTACTTTCTCGGCACGGGCATGACCGCCGCGGCAGTAAGAGAGCAAGACAACGATACAGACTAAAAGAGAGATGGAAGACACTACGTGCTGTTAGAGCGTGGGCAGGTTATCGAAGTCATGGATATACTCACTAGTAATAACCAGAACCTGGGGCCAGATAGCAGTGCCTTCAGCCCATGCTGGGAGACCGCTTTGAGCAGGGAGGCGCCTGGTCGCGTTGAAAATCTGGAAGGAAGCCGCAAGCATACTGATGATGATCAGACTGCAGCTGAAGCTGACGCCACGAAGGGCGAATTTGGCCATACGAACGCGGGCCTTGATTTTCTGTAGGCGTGTTAGCGACAGAGTGCTTTGTGAGGTCGATGCCACATACTAGGTCGCGTGCTTGTTCCTTGTCAGTCGCCTCCTCGCGCTTCTCCAAGATGTCCTCCTCTCGGAAGGTTGGGCTGAGCGGGTTCTCGATCTTCCTCGCCGGGGTCCCGGGCACCCTCATGGCGCTCTTGAGTGGCGATCTCGGAGTCATCGGCACGGCAACGGATTCGCGGTTGCTGCCGCCGCTGTTGTTGATGTAGCCGAATCCGATGTCCCCAGGCTGAGACTGAGGCATTTCGGATCTGGCGGGGTCGGCGAAGGGCGACCGAGGACCATCGACAGGAGAGTGAACTGATGTTGCTTCTGCGAAGCGAGGAGTGCGGGGGGCCTTCAGTGATGACTCGGAAGATGACGAATCTGTGGATGCTGATCGAGCGGGAGCGAGGTTGAGGGCGGCAGGCCGCCTCTTGTCTTCTACCGATGGTGTTAGTCCATTGTGCTAGTAGATCCTGGCCTTGAACGAAGACATACCTTGCGGAGACATGGTTGTGATGTGTGGTTGTGTGCCCGAATAGGGAGTACGGAAGAGAACGATGAGATGTATGCCTAGTATATAGGAAAGACGCCCTCAACTTTGGGGTCGCTGACGGAAAGACCGGCTTAGAACATGCAACAGAGTTTGGTGATCAAGGCAGGAATGAAGCACGATAGGAATCAGATTGGGAGAGACCAGCTGTCGGAAGGGAGAAAGAGGTCCAACAAATCGGCCACTCGGGGAAGCTGGTAGTTTTGAGTTGGCGCCGCTACTGTGTAGGACTCAAGGCAAAGGCTTCTTCCGCTACATGGGGCAGATCAGCAAGGCGTAAGTGGGACGAAGAGGAACTGGGATTCCTACATGTATGCAGCGTGGGAGGGTAGGATGGCGCGAAGTGAGCAGGGCTATGATAGGTTCCAGGCCGGCGATTCGGTCGCGATGAAAATAGACGCTCACAAGAGTGGACGAGGTGGCGCCGGACTTTGGTTGGCTCGATGCTTCAAGATACACGTCTTTCAATGTCGCCTCTCGCTGGCTGGTGTGTTCCTTTTCACACTGCTTTCTTGATTGCACGGCGGCTACTGGAATCACCAGGAGGCCGATCGTCCGTTGCTGAGACAGGAAGCAACTTCACGTTCTGGAGATCAGAGTCGGAAGCCGAAAGAGGAGGCAAAGACACCACACTGCAAGCAACAAACCCGTAGGGCCAAGAGTTGCGCGCATTTCTGGACAAGCGACGAATATAGAATTTTGAAAGCAACCCCAAATGGGTAGGCATCCTCGAGAGGGGGGAGAGGAAGAGGCAGGGTAGCAAGCAGCATGCACACTTGCACATTTCGCAGGCCAGCATACATAGTATTGACCGGTCAGACGCCTAGCTGAGGAAGGGAATACTCTTTGGACCGGAGTCTCTGGGCCGACCTCTCCTCACCCCGACAAAGCTTACTGGAGCTTGGCGGCACTTGTCGTTGCATCCGCATGGCTCGACGATGCACGTAAGGCCGATGATTGGACATGGTTCATCAAATTGAGAGGAGGCAGGTCGAGCAGCAACGGGAGGGCAATGATGGTGGTTGGACGGAAGATGGAAAGAGGAGAGGTTTGCGGAACCCACCCTTGCTCCTGGTTGAACCACCGGCCGGCGCCAACGACATGTCGAACCCTTGTTGCCGCCCGCTTCCCTGTCATGCATCTGCAGACGTGATAGGCTCCAGTAGTGCAGGCGCATCTAATGCCACTTTGGCGCATAGGACTGGGACCAATCAGAAATCAAAAGAGCGTGATGGACTGCTAGCCACATGCAGACCGGGCGGTAAGCAGAAGCTGGATGAATGGGGGAATTGGGCAACGCAATGGTGTACCGGCTGGTATGTGTGTGTGTGCGCGCGCGCGTGCGTGTGTGTGTGTGTCGTCTCTTGACTCCTACATCGAGTCACCTTCCTCGAGTCGACCGGGTCTTTCTATTCTTGTTTCCCCCAAGCCTAGCCTGGTCTAACCTGTAAGGATGGATACCTTCAGTTGTACGGATAGGTAGTAGGCGTATCATTTCATTATGGGTCTCTGAGCATTCATAGTTATTGCTCCCCTCCCCGGACCCCATGATATACGTACCATGGACGGCATGTCATCTGTAGAGCGATGAAGTGTGCGGATGTGGCAACGACACTCGCCTCCGCACTGTTACCGGCCCCAAAATCTGACGTTAGCCATGGTTGAGTTGTGGCCGAGGACTGCATTTTGCAATCTTTTTATCCGTCAGCCTGACTGAGGTACTTGGAGGGCAAGGTCTGGCCCGTGTCCCACCGTTAATTAGGTTCTAGCCAACGTCAAGCTGGTTGAAGAGACCAAAAAATGTCGTCAGTTCTTTCTATTTAGCCCTCTTTCCCTACTACTATACTCCGTAGGTACCCAGGCAAGCACTTTTAGTCTAGCGCACTTGTCAGCCTCTTTTTTAATCGTACAACGGAGAGCTAATTATAGAACTGACGTTCTCCCTAACTGAAGCTTCTCCTTGTTTTTTTTTTTTTTTGCTACAGGCCAACCGGTTATGTTATCCGGGCCCGGATACCCGTCGGCCGGAGCCACCATCCCTCCTCCAGTCAACAACAGAGCTGCCGCCAGCAGCCGACTTTCCCTTTTCCCACTTCGCTATCGCCAACTTCAACTACGCCGCCAGAGATGCCGTCAGTCGAGGCCCTCAAGAAGTACCAGAAACGTCGCCGCCGCCACAAACTCAACCAGCTCATCTAGCACGCCATGCCATCGCTACGCTACCTATGTGTTTTCGCGAACGCCTTTGATCTCCTTTGAAATCCCAATATATTAGTTTCCGTCCAACTCTCTCCTCCTAGTTTTTCCGAGAGGCCGAGGACGGCCATAGAGAAACCCGCCAGCTATAGGCCCAACCTCTAGTCCTGTAACTGTTACCCTCCACCGCCACCCTGCGAAGCTACCTAGCATTGTTGCAAATAACCCTTAGACGAAGCGCCTAAAAGACAGGATGAAGAAGAAACATAATAGGCAAACAATACTATCTCTTATTTTGCGGAGGTTAGTCCCTAGGATGATAATGATGGCAGATCAACAATTAGTGACCATCACTACGAGGCTGATAATAATAACGGTCCACCTGATGAATCGCATGTCCAGCCATATACCCAGCCAGTGACCTAGTCCGACTATCATCAACAACAAAAACCTAGCCAGCCGCCATAGAAGCCGCGCGGCCAGCCAAATATTTATACATATGTCAGAAACAGGATACTTTTTGGAAAAGACGCTGAAAATTTCGAGGGCGCTGTCTCACGGTCAAGCTGCTCGCCTACGAGTTTTAGCTGGAGATTTGGATGATATGGAGACTCTCATCAACGTCCCTTTCCCAGAGAACTTTCGGGAGAACCCGTCCACGTCATCGTATACGGCATCGGAGGTTTGAGCCACCGCCCATTAAACCGCAGCCAAGTCATCCACCGCCGCAAGTCCACAACCCATAGAGGCATTCCTTCGGACCACCCGGTTATAACCCATACCCATACCCAGCCCAATGCCTTCTTTCAGCCAAACTAGCACCCATCGCAACAGCCTCGTTTTGGCCAGCCAGACCAACCGCTGCTGTCAAGTTCCCCATTAACCAAACCATTCCCGCTGAGCTGTCCACTAGCCTATCGCGGGGTCTATGATCTATATAGGTAGCCCACCGGCCCGACTGGGTACAACTCGTCCTTCGCACCCTTCAGCCAGCCAATTTGCCCGCCAGCTAGCCAGACCGACTACCCAGTCTGGCCGCCGCATAACCAGCACGGATACCACAAGTATAAACCCGAAGGAAATGAATACGAGCACGAATATGAGGGCTATGGTCCTGAGGAAGAAGAAGGCCCAGAGGAGCACTACGAGTATCACGAAGGATACGACGAAGGGACTTTGACGATGGATATGGTGGACACGACGAAGGTGGTTATTATGATGAGGGACATGATGACGATGGGTACGATGAGAGGACGACGGCGGTGGTGACAGCCTAGTTGACAGCCTGTGATGGCGAACAGCTGGATAGCTTGGTTGCGAAGTGTCTTGGTGGAGTGCTCAAGGATACCTACTGTAGTTATGTGTAAGGGGGGTCTTTCAATACCCAAAGTGCAACAACACAACCTTGTTTTCAATTCCAACCAATCAAAAAGTCACCTGTCCATTGACTGTTGTAGTCGTGTAACGGAGTGTTGTTCACAGGTGAATTGGCCGGCCGGCTGCTGAAGTGAAAGTTGTCGTTGACAAAAGCTCTAAAAACACGACACGAAGCCCAAGGCCCCCGATATTTAATATATCTGCTTTCAATCGCCGTATAGAACTAGGGCCTCTCTCGCTGGTAATTTGTTTTTTTGTTGTTCTCAAAAAGACCAACAGATCGTGGGTTGATCACTTATATGCGAGTCGAGACAAGCGTAAAAATGCCAAATATCTCGAGATGTTATTGCTTTCAATATTATCCCAAGCCTTTTCGGTTTATGACTCCATGTGTGCGGTTGGGCATTTCATGCGGGGTAGCTCAAGACAGTTTGAGGAAGTTTTGAGAGCCTGCCGCAGCGATGATAACTCTTGGGCATTCACTTAGGTTTATCTGACGAAGGTCCGGCGGGGCACACTGCCTTATCAATCCAGAAGAGGCTAGCGTCATAATCAGTGTCGACTCAGAGTAGAAATCTATCCACCCGCGGGGCAAAATGGATTTCAACTTCCAACCACCACCACCACTACCACCACCACCAAATATTCCCAATTTTATTGCTTGCCCCAGACATTTTCTTGTCTCATTAAACAAACTATCTATCTCATCAGCCTGTCGAGACAATGTCTGCTGACAGCGTTTCCAATCACGAAGACATGGACCCCGTGTCTAACTCTGGCGAGTTTGCGGAGGAAGAGTTGACCAGCGAGCCCCTGGCTTCGAACACCAAGGAGGTGCACTTCAGCGACACTGCGAAGGACACTGCTAAGGTCGCAGTTGAGCGTCCTATCCTTCCCGAGCAAACTGATCCCCAATATATCGACTTCGAGAAACACGACGCTCTGAACCCCGAGGTTATCGCTCGCCAAGCAACAATCAATATTGGCACTATCGGCCACGTCGCTCACGGAAAGTCTACCGTCGTCAAGGCCATTTCCGGTGTCCAGACCGTCCGCTTCAAGAACGAGCTGATCCGTAATATCACCATCAAGCTTGGTTACGCCAACGCCAAGATCTACAAGTGCGACAGCCCCGAGTGCCCTCGGCCGGGATGCTACAAGAGTTACAAGAGCGAGAAGGAGGTTGACCCCCCCTGCGAGCGCGACGGCTGCAGCGGCACCTACAGATTAATTCGTCACGTCTCGTGAGTAGTTTCGAGACCTTACCCTAGAACCGTGGATGCAGGGTGGCTAATATCCATAAACAGCTTCGTCGACTGCCCCGGTCACGACATTCTCATGAGCACCATGTTGTCCGGTGCTGCTGTCATGGACGCAGCCCTTCTTCTTATTGCCGGCAACGAATCTTGCCCCCAGCCTCAAACTTCTGAGCATTTGGCAGCAATTGAGATCATGAAGCTCGACAATCTTATCATTTTGCAGAACAAGGTCGATCTCATGCGCCAAGACGCTGCAGGGAAACACAAGGACACCATCACCAAGTTCGTCAGAGGCACCGTTGCAGCAAACTCTCCCATTATCCCTGTCTCTGCTCAGCTGAAGATCAACATCGATGCTGTCCTTGACAGCATCGTCAACACCATTCCTGTCCCTACTCGTAACCTCACCAAGGACCCACTTATGATCGTAATTCGGTCTTTCGACGTTAACAAGCCGGGTGCCGAGATCGAAGACATCAAGGGCGGTGTTGCTGGTGGTTCCATTCTGCACGGTGTTCTGAAGCTCGGCGACGAGATCGAGATCCGTCCCGGTATCGTCGAGAGAGACGACAAAGGTAACCTCAAGTGCACGCCCATCTTCAGCAAAATCGTCTCCCTCAACTCCGAGGGAAACGAGCTCAAGTACGCCGTCCCTGGTGGACTTATTGGTGTCGGTACCAAAATCGACCCTACTCTCTGCAGAGCCGACCGTCTTGTCGGTCACGTCCTGGGTCTCAAGGGCCGCCTGCCCGATATCTACAAGGAGATCGAGGTCAACTTCTTCCTTCTGCATCGTCTCCTGGGTGTCAAAACCGCCGACGGCAAGCAGGCCAAAGTCGCCAAGCTCACCAAGAACGAAGTTCTCATGGTCAACATCGGTTCTACGTCCAGTGGTGCCAGTGTCTTTGCCATCAAGAACGATGCCGCCAAACTCAGACTCAATACTCCCGCTTGCACGAACATTGGCGAGAAAATTGCTCTGTCCCGGCGTATCGAGAAGCATTGGCGTCTGATCGGTTGGGCCACCATCGTTGCGTAAGTTTTCCTTGACCGTATAATAGATTTCGATAGCTGACTCGTTGTAGTGGTGTCACCATTGAGCCAAGTGTTCGCATCGAGCCCAGCTCATCCAAAACCATTTAATCAAGCAAAAGCAAGTCCCGAAAAGTACATTCTTCAACATCACAGGAGTTTAAAAGAGTCGGTCTGGTACAGCCAAATGGGGAGTCGGGGGAAGTTGGCAGTTTTCTAGAACCAGACGGGGTAATGAATGCAAATGACACGAGGTCACATGGGTCACCAGGGATGAAAATACAAGTATCGCTAGACAGGGGTGCATGCTGGTAGATAGGCCCTGGACGATGAATGAGCTCTATTTCTATTACATTATTTCCTGACCTTGCGCGCGTGTTTGACCAGATTCTCTATAACGCCTTCGAATGCTTCCCTGTCGCCTATCTTTTCGTCCGTCTTCTTGGTCCAATATTCTAGGACCTCCCTGGCCGTGCCCTCCATTGCCTTGAGCTTCTCGACATGGGCCTTGAGCTCCTCGTCCGTCATGCCATTCAGTGCCTCGTCTGTGGTGGCACATAACTGCTTGGCCGATACGAGATCTAGGTCCGGTACTGCCGGCGGGCCCTTTCTTTTGGATGCCGACGGCTTCCCCTTCGAATCGACTGACGTCGACGAGGCGTTAGCGTCGGACTGTCGAATCCTTGCCACGGAGCGGATATCCGAGGATGTCCGCGGTGATCCGGCCGTTGCGACTTGGAGTGATGGCAGCACAAGCTTCTTCTGCTTGGAGGCCGGGAGGATTTCATCCAGATCCACCGGCACGCCCAGGGAGACCAGGAACAAGCGACGGATACGGGAGCGGATCCAATCTGGCGGTGCCAGCGGCGGGGGCGCTACAAGTTGTGACCACAGAGACGCGCTACGCGGTGTGAGGAAGATGGGATTTTCTTTGGTTATTGGTGGGGGAGAGGACACATCCAAGTCTTCTGGCGGGAAGAGGGTGTTGAGGTACGGGTCAACAGCTTGCAAGACGTCCTCGCTGTCTAGACCATCGAAATCAGGTATGTCCTGGATGGTAAATCCGTCAGTTTCTCTGCATGTTGCGTTGCAAAACGAGATACTCACGAATGGTAATGGAGGTACTTGTGACAAGCTCGGCGGCGGGGCTGGTGCAGGTGCCTCGAATTCTGGTTCTTGGAAGCCGTCGTCAAAGTCGTCAAAGTCACCATCGGCCTCGGCACCCTCCTCGAAATCGTCAAAATCGTCCCCAAAATCATCGTCGCCGCCCTCGTCATTTTCTTCCGCATCGGGTGGTGGTGCGAGGCTTGCACTAGATGGGGCCGAAGACAAAGCAGTCCTGGAGGATTTCCGCTTCAAGTGAGGCGAACCCGGAGTTGAGAGCGCAGGTGATACAGGAGACGGATCTACGAATGACGCCAGGTCAACGACGAATGCTCTTTGAATTTCAGGGATCTCTACATCGTACCGGAACTGCCACCTTCCTCGGTCTCGCCTTCCGGCTTCACAACCAAGTCGGCTGGGGCGTCTGCCTTGCGCTTCTCCAGGAACTCCTCTGAGTGTGGCCCTGTCGAGCCGGGAGCCTCCTCGACAACAGTCTTGGGGATGACGGGCGACTTTGGTGCACCGCCCTCAGACGACGACGCATCGCTCTTCTTCTCCTGGATAGCAATCTCATCCGGCTCAGCGTCCCCCTCCCTCAGGCGGTAAGCCTCCGTTCCAGGGACCTCGCCGTATGCTGGTTCGTCGTCGACTTTCTCTACACGAGTCTTGGGGATCGGCGACGTTCCGGGGCTGAGAGGAGCAGATTGGGCATCGGAAAAATGATCCTCAGAGTCGGAAGCGTTAGCTGCAAATTGTTAGACAAAGGGCTAAATGTATCATCTAGGGAGAACGACGGGGGTCGTCTACCTAGATCGTGGGCGCCAGGGTCGCTAGTTCCAGACCGTCTGGGCGGCGTAAGAGCCTCGTTGTCAGGCATGATGTTGATACAAGTATAATTGGGACAACGTTTCTTGGTGTTACGGGCAGGTGAAGCAGCACCTAGGTTATCGATGGTGGAGGGAATAGGAGTGGGTGGTGGAGGGGGAACCTGTCGATTAGCGGATACGTAATGGTGTGGGCCGAATAGCAGAAACGATATCCCAGACTCAAATACTTGGGCCACTGCAACTAATTCATTAAGTCAGCTTGAGGCACAGCTGGCGGCACACAAGAAAACCAGAGAAAGGCACTTCAGGCTCTTGGGCAGAGGGCATAATCAGCAGGCTCGTAGAGATGATCAGGAACCTCTGCAGTTCTAGACTCGCCTGCCAAGCATCACGTGGGGTAGGCCCCGGCTAATTCCGCGCTAACACTCGATAAGCAATCAGTCCCTGTCCTGGGTAGGTACAGCGCGCCAGTCGCGTGGAGGTGAGCCTGAAAGGCTGGACATCAAAAAAAATAAAAAAAGCTGCCAGCCATCAACAACAGCTTCAGTCTCCGCCGATAACCAGCAAAGAACGCCTCCGACTCAATAAGCTCGCGCATATCGGCAGCGAAAACTCGACTTCTATTGACAACAAGCAACGTTTTAGAGGTCGATTCGCACCTCAATGCGACGAAGCTGAACTGCACGGTCCACGACTTCTCGGATCAAGCTTCTTCCTGTTGCTGTAGGTAGCTTCCAGGACATCTTCAAGCATCGGCTCGACACATCCCCAACAACCCACGGAACTTCGAAACAATGTCCTTCAGCTTCGGAAACACAAGCTCTACGCCGACGTCGAACAGCGGCTCGACCCCTGCGACTTCTGCCCCGGCGTCTGGAGGTCTTTTCGGCGGTGGCGCTGCCTCCAGCGGCACTCCCAGCTTCTCCTTCGGCAACCTGGGAGGCAATAACACACCCGCTGCTGGATCGAGCAGTGGAGCGTCAACTTCGGGTGGGGGATTATTCGGACAGAACGCTGGTCAGAAACCAGCAGGCGGACTCTTTGGAGCCGCTTCTACGGGCACGCCTCCTTCGACCGCAGGTGGCCTCTTCGGGGCCAAGCCTGCCACCGGCACATCATCGACTCCAGCTGCTTCTGGTGGCCTCTTTGGCCAAAACACAGGCTCGTCTACGCCTAGCACATCTGCCCCCGCATCGGGAGGTCTCTTTGGAGGCGGCGCCGCCTCAAGCAGCACCCCTGCTGCATCTTCTGGAGGGTTGTTTGGAGGAGGAAACGCAGCGGCGAAGCCGGCAGCCAACCTTTTCGGTGGCGGAAACACTGGAAGCTCTACCCCCTCTGGAGGCCTTTTCGGTCAGAACACTGCGTCAGGCTCTTCAACAGCCCCTGCTCCCGCTTCTGGTGGGGGTTTGTTCGGCGGCATGAACAAGCCTGCATCAAGCACGCCTACTACAGCGACTCAGGCAACGCCCGCAAAGCCCTTGTTTTCGCTTGGAGGATCGACAACGCCTGCTGGAGCTCCCCCGGCTGACGCGAGCAAGCCTGCCGCAGGCGGTCTTTTCGGCGGTGCTACAACATCCGGTTCTGCAGCCCCGTCGCCTTTTGGTGCTGCGGCAGCCAAGCCGGCGGAGACTAGCAGCGCGGGCGGCCTCTTCGGTGGTGCTGGACAGTCCAAGCCTGCTTCCACGGCTCAGCCGGCGAGTGGAGGTTCGCTCTTTGGTGGTCAAGCGCAACAGCCTGCGGCCAGCGGTGGTCTCTTCGGAGGCCAGAAGCCGGCTACAACCGCGGCCCCTAGCGCTGGTGGCCTCTTCGGCGGCCAGGCTGCTACTGGTACTGCTTCGATCCAGCCCGCTTCAGGGACTACCGCAGCTTCCACAGCTGGCGCCTCTGCGCTCTTCGGTGGTGCCAAGCCTGCTACGCCTACTACTTCGACACCACCTACATCGTCTGCCGGTGGCCTCTTCGGCGGCAACACATCCTCCACGCCGGCTACAGCAACGACACAAGCTGGCTCTAGTGCAGGTGGACTCTTTGGCAAGCCTGCTGCTACTGCATCTGCAACCCCTGCTGCTACGACGGCTCCTTCTTCACTGTTCGGCGGCCAGTCATCTGCAACTCCTGCCAGCAAACCTGCCAGCGGTGGACTCTTCGGAGGCGCCCCAGCAGCGAGCACCTCTCAGGCGGCATCTACTCCTGCATCGACTGCGCCAGCGACTACTTCTGCTGCAACTGTATCCACGCCAGCTGCCGGTACTACCGCATCTGCTGGCAGTCTCTTTGGCGCCAAACCGTCAACACCCGCTGCTGGAACATCAACCCAGAACGGATCTGCCCCGGCTGCCACATCCGCCACGGCTGGCAACTCAAATACTCTAGCTGCATCCACGACCGGCCCTACTTCTCAGCTCCCTCGCCTGAAGAACAAGTCAATGGACGACATCATCACGCGATGGGCTTCAGACTTGTCCAAGTATCAGAAGGACTTTAAGCACTACGCTAACCAAGTTGCCGACTGGGATTTGGGTCTGGTGGACAACGGTGAGAAGATCCAAAAGCTCTACCTCAACACCTTTGAGGCCGAGAAGGCCAGCCACGAGATTGAGCGTCAACTTCAAGCTGTTGAGAGTCAGCAGGACGAGCTTGAAGATTGGCTCAACCGCTACGAGTCCGACGTGAAGGAGATGTTCTCCCGCCAGATGGGACAGGGCGAGACTCTGACTGGACCTGACCAGGAGCGCGAGCGCACGTACAAGCTCGCCGAGAAGTTGACGCAGAATCTCGACGAGAAGAGCAGAGACCTGTCCAAGATGGTCAAGGAAATCAACGACATCTCCGGCACTCTTAGCAAGGGCAGCAAGCCCGAGGATCCTGTAAGTCATTTCCATCTCCTCAATATATGTTTAGTCGTATTTCTAACGCACTTCCAGTTGAGCCAGATCGTTCGTGTTCTCAACGGCCACTTGTCTCAACTCCAATGGATTGACACCAATGCCGCGTCCCTGCAGGCCAAAGTGTCTGCTGCACAGAAGGCGAACAACAACCTTGGTAGCCAGTACGGAGCACCGGGGACTGATGCGGCAGAGAGCTTTTACCGATCTTACATGGGTCGGCGATAAATGGGGTTTGGACAGCGGAATTGGGTATATGGATTTTTTGTTTCGGCAGCCCGCACACACGAGAGAAGAGTCAAGACTGGGAGAATTGATATGGAAAGACTCGGAAAACCAGAGTCAATAATCACTCGAGCAAGGCTCCAAAAAGGTCGCTTCACATTGAGTGGGATGGTTAAAACGCCGTAAGAGTGCGCTTCATCATGCATACGTACATGTACATTAGCCTAGACTATGTGGGTGAATATCAGGGGTTGATTCACATGACAACTCTGAATTTTCCTTGAAATGGTGCTCGCGTTGTACGCGACTCTGCTGTATGCGCCGGCGACTGCTTTTCCCTTCCCGTCTCAGCGTACACGGTCTCCTCGCTCGCCATTGATATTACTGCGAATGCATTTTGTTTTGGGATTAGTTGTGCTCGCCGCCCTGGTTCTTGGTGATTTCGTCGCTGTCGGTTCGATTAGCAAGTTAAGCTTGAAATTGAGGGCGACGTCATGTCCAAAGGGGGTGGGGGCGGGTGACGAACATGTGGTCGGACAGCTGCTGGAGGTGGGCCTGCTGCTCGGAGAGCTTCTTCTTGAGCTCGAGAAGCTTCTCCTTCTCACGCTGGCGGATAGCGTAATCCTCGTTCGCCTTCTCGCGCTTCTGGAAAGCGTCTCTGAGATTCTAATCGTTAGTTTCTGCAACGTCCGAGAATCCGAGGTGATGCTAGATCAGGAGAGGTTGCCGGGCGTGTACAGGGTAGAGAGGTAAGGGGAGAAGTCAAACTTACCCGCCTCCGTACTTGGAGGGAGCTCCAGTGTCGCCCTCGCCCATCGCGCGGGTGGTGGTGCTGAAGGCAGCTCTGGAGGCGAGAGACAGAGGGCGAGCGGCAGCCTTGGTGGCAGCGATGCGCATCATTTTGAAGAAGTTTTTGTGAGGTGTTACGATGAATTGAATCGTGAGGTGTTGTGTTGTTGTAGAAAGAGGTTATGCTGACCGATGACGATGGGGGGGTGGCTAGTCGACGGGTTTTGTGACAGGCTGGGTTGTGGAGAGAGAGCCTGGAGTAGCTCGGGAAAGGGAACGCTGATTAAATGCTATTGGACGGAGGGGGAATGATCTGATTCTTCGGAACGAACTGGTGAGAGCTTTTGCTCTGCTTCGGCTGCCTTCTCTCATAGGCAAGTACGGAGGTACGGGGATGTGATACGTCATAAGCAGCAGAAGCAAGGTATTCTGCTAACATGCGCTACCAGCATTTCTCAGCTTAGTGGAGGGACTAGGTATGGGCCAAGCAACTCTGTCCTTCCTCAGACCACCTGCATTGAAAGGCCAACCGCTATGACCAAAATAGCGACGTGCTCACTGCTGTATTTTTGAGGCTGGCCGTGCTGGGAAATGCAGATATGGGGCATCCGCAAGATCCCGTGAGGACTTACAGCGCCCCCTGTGGACACCGGAGATTGTTGCGCCATGTTGGGATTCAGGGTCACTGGCCCCCGTCTATCGAGGAGTTATCATCCACGTGATGCTCTACAAGCTCGTCGTACAAGAGCATCGTGCTTGGTGAAGGTCGATACCCGCGATCCCAATGATTCTTGTGGCGGGTTATACTCAAGTACTGTATACTGGATAATTACGACCCAGATCGACTTGTCGTTTCCGACAAGGCTGAATCTCGGCCGCGACTGGGATGTTCCCCGGGCCACCGGGCTGAGAGAGGCTCGGGAGATCTGTCGCTTCAAGATAGTCGGCCAAAGGAGGCGGGGGGGGGGGGGGGGGGGGGGTGCCTGGTGATTGTGGTGCGATGGTCTTACGCTTTGTCTCGCCAGGAATTAACGTAAGGCGTTGTCACTTCAAATGGAGCGCTGAAGCCGTACAGGACAGCATAGTCCAGTACCGCGGGCACGCGTGTAAGTGCTGCCTTGGCTTGCCTAGCCACGAGAATAGCGCCTAGCCTCTACTGAGGGGGAAAGAAGAAGGGCAAGATCAGGTATTCGGGGCATGAATATGGTTCACCCTAGAAAGGTAGTAGGAACTGTGTATCTACATAGCCATGGTTTCAAGAAGCAGAACAGCGTGAGACCGATCAACCTGACAAGTACTTGTAAGTTGTCCGTCAACATTGCCTGAACTCAAAGGATCCTCGAAGCACGGATGGTTGCGCTGCACGATTGCATGAAAAGAAGAGACGAAGTGGGATGAGGGGACAGGAAAGGAAGGGGTGGCTGTCACCAGGCTTTTAAGTCGGGAGTTTGTTCACAACATGCCAAGAGCCTGTGTAGGTAAGGTACAGCATAAGCAAGTGTTCTGCAAAGCAGCCCAGACATGAGCCTGACAGCTGACTTTGGGTCGGAGAAAGTGAAGCACACATACAACACAGAGTGACGTGATGGCGGCGCAATAGTAGCAACAAGGTCAAGGTTAGACAAGGCGAGGTCAGAAGAGTCGAGTGTGCTCTCCGTTGGGTGCCTCGGATTGAGGCCAGGTGGTGGAATGCATGCAGTAAGGTGTACCTGGATCCAAAGTCGACCTACGGCTGCTGTTGATGGCTCGGGGAAGGAACGCACAGGCGACACAGAAATGCCAAAGGTATCTCCGTGTACCCCCACTGCCTGTCGCGCAGTCGCTGGCAGTAAGGGCACATTTGGAGAGGGTTTGGAGAGGCTTTAGGGGGTCTCTTGAGGGGTATCTACCAACCACTGTCAGCCGCACAGCACAGCCGCGATACCTGATGCTACCCGGGATCGATTCACGTGAGCCGTCCATTCCAGGGCTAACATCGAGTTGGGAACAAAACAGAAGGGCCCATCTGCTACAGTGTGGATGCGGCAATGGGATTGGTTGAGACGCCTCTTGCTGGGTGACTGGTCAGGCAGTGGCTCATCACTGTCCCTGCCCGTCGTCCAACCAGTCAAGTCGGGTGCCGTCCAGTCCAGTTGGTGCGGTGCCACCCTCCACCCCCCCTGGTCGCCTTGCCTTGTCTTTGGCCCGGGCCACCTCACGTATTGTGCAGTCCAGAGCCCCTTCCTCAATTTCCATCCATCACCTTTTCGTCTCATAACTTCTCAACTTCCAAACCCTCGCACTACCTTCTACAAATCGTCCAACAACCGCCTCGATTTACCATTCTTCACGCTCTCTTCCCCTGCTCTGAACCAACTCGATTCTTGACACGGGATCCTATCCATTGTCACTCATCCATCATTCCACCAGAACATCCCCGCCGACCTCAAAACATCGCACCAAAAGGTACGTGGTCCCCTCCCCCCATCAACCCCCCGTGCCCCCTCTGTCGTCATCGCATCCCTCGCCGCAATCTCCTTCCACCGATCCTCAACAGCCGAATGTGGCCCATCTACGCCAGCCGCCTGACGACGATGCCCTTTGTGCATCGTCCTGTATTCGATTGATCGCCTCACCGACCCTGCGCTCCCTATCTTGGCTGGTGAGGCGCAAAACCCCACTAGGAGCGGGGAGCCTCAAGCAAGTGATGAAGTCAGCGAGGCGCATACGCCGCGACTAGTCCTCTCACCTCTGAATTCACCAGCCTGCTCTTGCGATATCAATACACGTCTTTTCTCGTCGTTTTCTCAAAATACACATTCACCAGTCGCCCGGAGCGCAGTTATGGCCTCCCCCCTTTGCTACACTTGCTAATCAAACATCGCGTTCCAGATAACCAACCGTCACAATGGGTCACGAAGATGCTGTGTACTTGGCCAAGCTTGCTGAGCAGGCTGAGCGCTACGAGGGTACGTGGTAATCGCCGCTCGAGACCGATGGATACAAACTGATGACTGGGCTTGCAGAGATGGTTGAGAACATGAAGATCGTCGCTTCTGAGGACCGTGATCTGACCGTTGAGGAACGCAACCTCCTCTCTGTTGCCTACAAGAACGTCATCGGTGCCCGCCGTGCTTCGTGGAGAATCGTCACCTCCATCGAGCAGAAGGAGGAGTCCAAGGGCAACTCTTCCCAGGTTGGCCTCATCAAGGAGTACCGCCAGAAGATCGAGGCCGAGCTCGCCAAGATCTGCGACGACATCCTTGATGTCCTTGACGCCCACCTCATCCCCTCCGCCAAGTCTGGCGAGTCCAAGGTCTTCTACCACAAGATGTAAGTAACACTGTGGCCGTTGGAATGCCATATCATGACTGATCCCCTGAACAGGAAGGGTGACTACCACCGCTACCTCGCCGAGTTCGCCGTTGGCGACCGCCGCAAGGACTCCGCCGACAAGTCCCTCGAGGCTTACAAGGCTGCCACCGAGGTTGCCCAGACCGAGCTCCCCCCTACCCACCCCATCCGTCTCGGTCTTGCCCTCAACTTCTCCGTCTTCTACTACGAGATTCTCAACGCACCTGACCAGGCTTGCCACCTTGCCAAGCAGGCTTTCGATGATGCTATTGCCGGTTCGTACCATCATCACTACTTAAGGCCTGTACACTCGACTGACAAATGGCCTACACAGAGCTTGACACCCTTAGCGAGGAGTCTTACAAGGACTCTACCCTCATCATGCAGCTTCTCCGTGACAACCTGGTAAGACTTGCTTCCGGCCAATATCAAGGTTATATCACTAACCATATATTCAGACCCTCTGGACCTCTTCCGAGGCCGAGCCCGCGGCGTCAGGCACTGCCGAAGCGCCTGCCAAGGAGGAGGGTACCACCGCCGAGGCGCCGGCCGCCGCCACCTCTGAGGAGCCCAAGGCTGAGTAAGGGGTTCGATGGTCTCGTAGCATTCTGCTGTTCCTTGCCGGATTTGGGTGGACTGGTGTCTACGGAGTGTGGACTGGAGATTTCGTTTTTGCGAATCGGCATCGTTTAGGCAATACACACAAGAGTTGTGAAGGGGTTGATCTTTCCTAGCACGGGACTGGCTGAGGGCTAACGAAAGAGCATTTTGGAGGTCGATTGCACCCACGTTTGCTTTTTTAGACTCTAATGCAAGACCGTCTGGACAACAACAAAAAAAGACTAAAATTGCTTTCAAAGAAGCACATCCGGTAAACAATATTGAGCGGTTTCCGCGTGACGCTGATGCATGGCTGTAGAGTTATACTTGCCTTGGAAGAGCATAAAAATCGGTCAGGGACGGCAGTCGTTGCAAGACAGGTTTCCCTCCTATGTAGTTTTGAGACAAAACCACAACCAACACTGAGATAGATTGAGAGAGCAGTATGCCGTGGAGATAAGAAAAGGCCAAAAGTCAGATATAGGGGAATGCAATACAGATGGAGGAGGTGTGAAACGAAGACACAAACGGCAGATACAGGAACGAGCCCGGTTATGCCAATGCAAGTGACGGCCCCTCGCTCAATATTGTAGATGACGAATCAATAGGACACATTGATACAATCTTTGGTTCTTGTCCGCCCTTTACAATTGGAGGAAACTTTCACTCTAGCCGAGAATATCAAAAATAGATGAATGAGTGAACTATTCGCCTTTTCATTTTCATAACCTTCATGAATCGACCGAGACTATGGCGAAGTGGACCTTCATCCAGAGACTGCAGTCCTGACAGCCCACAAGAAGCTCGCCGTTCTCGCCAGCCTCTTCCAGGTCCGCCTCCGTGAACAGGAACCCCCGTGGGTTTCCACACCGGCAGCTGCGGTACCAGCAATCGGCGTCCGGACCGCCGCTCTCGTCAAATTCAAGGTCGTCGAGGTCGACGTTCTCTATGCCGGTCTGGAAGGTCTGCTCGCCACGCTTGGGACCTTGGTTGTTGGGCGCGAGGCCGAGGGACCTATCGTAATCTGCTCTAGACCTTGGGTCCGAGAGGACCTTGTAGGCCGTGGAGATTTGGTCGATTGTAAAGGCGGTGTTGCCAGCGTGGGATGTTACTGATGTGGTGTTCAGGGTCTGGACTTTCTTATACTTGTCAGGGTGGTTTTGGAGGAGGGCGCGGTGATAGGCCCGTTTGATGATCTGCTGCGGCTCCGCCGCCTGTTCCTGTAGGAGTTTGCGAGTGATGCCCAGAATTACGTAGTGTGTGTGACATTCACCGGGATCCACGGATGAAGGGCTCATGGTGAGCGAAAAGAGTGGCGCAGCGGACAAGACGCCCTGCCAAGTTGAGTTGAGCACTGTCGTGGGTTTGTAAGTGAAAATTTGTGGCGAATTGGAGGCCGAGAAGCTTGGTTCTGAAGAGATCACGTGAGGGGTTCGAGAATATCAAAAAGTTGACTTTTGTTGCAGGGAAATTGAGGCAACGGCCCGTGGAACTACTTTCACAGATAGATTGGTACTGGAGACACTCGTCCAGAGGTATTCATGAATTGTATCGGTCTTGAATGGGTAGCATGCCACTCGGCCTCTGAAGGGAAGAGGGCGGTCTGGACATTAAAGAAGGATCGCATGGTGTTGCAAATTGCTGAGTTCGTTTCTTGTACATGTTGATACATGGTATATGTACACCGTCTATGGTATTCGACGCGTCGTAAGTGAAGAAAGAGCCAAATATATCGCTTATTTGGGGAACCTTGTCCAGTTTCGCTTCCCAACCTGATGCGTGATGTCAGTAAGAGGTCGGCAAAGGGTCGGCCAAAACTCATGGAAAGTAACTCACCTTCTTCCACTCCTTGATCAGTTTCGGCATCGCCAGCATAGCCTCTCTCCTCTTCTCCATTCTGTACCGCACAGTCAGTATCCATCCCTCGACACGAGACTCAAGCCCCAGCAAATCGGCGGCCAGACACGAGACACACATACCTTGGCTGCACCATTCTCTCGTGAATCTTTCCCTTGACCTTTTGTCCTACACCAGTACCCTTGACCCGGAGGCCGTGTTTGACGCGGCGGGCAATCCTGTACTCGGTGCCCTTAACGGTAGGAGGAAGCAACTCTTCGACGCCGTGCTGGCGCGCAAGCTTGACAATCTCTGCCTGGCGGCGCAGCGAGTAGACGGGGTCGTGCCACTTGCCCGTGGCAGGATGCTTCTGCGGCGAGAAGGGATTCGGCGTAATCTCCTGAAAGCCCGTCTTCGGGACCGTCACGCCGGCGGGCAGGATCGAGGCGGGTGGCCAGCGGGCGAAGAAGCGCTGGAGCTGCTGAGGCAAGGCCTTGGCCAGCTGGATGTATTGTTCTGCAACGACCATTTTCGAGGGGTGCGCGTGGTAGAGCAGCGTTTTACTATGTCCTCCGGTGCAAGCGCTAGGGCATTGCCGTTTCGTCGAGGAAATGAAGGGATTCGGAGGGTCAATCGACTGAAATGCAAGCTCTCTCCTTCGCCGTTCGGGATGCTCGATCAGTTGCTGCAGCACAAATTTGGGAGGACAGCCTTGACCCACCCCTGCACGTCCCTGACATGGGGTTTAGCTTAAGCTAGAGGCAAGATTTGCCGAATGTCATCGCATCTGATTGGGTCGCATTCATGTGGCGGCCTCAAATGTGGCGCAAAGCGCAGCCTTCTCGGCCTCTCCACGATGCATTACAAAATCAGTCTAGACCTTTCGATGTTCTGAAATCTACTTATCAAAGGTCCGAAGCTCGATACCTTGGGAGAATATAACCATAATTATTCCCATCAAGGTTCTGAAAGAAAGGGTTGCGCGCAGCTTTGAGGTTCAACATCCATTTGGTGCTGGTACGTACCCATCGCCGTACTTAACGCTGGTCATCTCCCGCCCAAGATCTTCCTCGACCAAACCCACCCAGCGGTTTTTGTTGGTGTCGCATCACGGGACAGCCAAGATGAGTACCAACCAGACAAGGAAGACACCTCTCGACCTCGAAGAGATAATCAAGAAGAAGAAGGCTGCCGACGCCGCGGCATCGAAGCTACGATTTATACCAAAGAAAGAGAGGGAACGTCAGGCAGCAGAGAAGGCGAAACAGGAGGAGGAAGAGCGCAAGCGCAAGGCGGAAGAGGACGCGAGGAAGAAGGCCGAACTCGAGAGGAAATGGGTCTCTGAGGCAAACGGCAGCGCCGTCAACGGAGCACAGAATGGAGTCGGCGGCAGGATACCAACGGGCCCGAAGGCCATGCACAGCACGGAGGGCGGCCGGGGTCCTGGCGGCCGAGGACGTGATAAGCAAGAACAGCGAAAGGCGTCGGCAAAGGACGGCAAAGAGAAGAAGTCTGCCGAGGCGATCGAGGCCGAACTGTTGCGCAACCGATACCTGGGCCCCGAGGTCAACAAGCAATCGAACTTCTCGGTGAAGAAGAAGCGGAAGAGGGCGACAGAGTTCAAGTTCGAGTGGGACGCCGAAGAGGACACCACGCTTGATGATCCTATCTACGAATCAAACAGCACGACCCTTAAATCATACACATTCGGCAGCTTGTCCGGCGAGTACAACGAGGAGGCGGAAGAGATTGCTCGTCGACGAGCACGGATGATTGAAGAAAGAGACCGCGAGTTCGGGAAACAACGCGCAAAAGAGTTCATGGAAGATTTCTATAGGGCACGAGAGAGGGCGAAGGAGCGCGCTGACAGGTCGGGCCTCGGCAAGCACTGGACAAAGAAGGCCCTCTCAGAGATGCGGGAACGCGACTGGAGAATCTTCAAGGAGGACTTTGGCATCGCTACCAAGGGCGGTCAAATTCCCAACCCAATGCGCAGCTGGGAAGAGTCGGGCTTGCCGCGACAGCTGTTGAACATTGTGGACAGGGTTGGCTACAAAGACCCCTCGCCTATTCAAAGAGCAGCTATCCCGATTGCGCTGCAGGCCAGAGACCTCATCGGTGTGGCCGTCACAGGTTCCGGTAAGACGGCAGCGTTTTTGCTGCCGTTGCTGACCTACATCCAAGACCTGCCTCCCCTGACGGAGATCAACAAGAACGACGGAGCGTACGCCCTCATTTTAGCACCGACGCGTGAATTGGTACAGCAAATCGAAACGGAAGCCCACAAGTTCGCCGACCCCCTGGGCTTCAACGTCGTCAGTATCGTGGGCGGTCACTCTCTGGAGGAGCAGGTGCATGCCTTGTCTCGTGGTGCCGAGATCATCGTCGCCACCCCGGGTCGTCTGGTGGACTGCATTGAGAGACGGCTTCTCGTCCTGTCACAGTGCTGCTACGTCATTATGGATGAAGCCGACCGAATGATCGATCTCGGTTTCGAGGAGTCTGTGAATAAGATTCTCGACGCGCTGCCCGTATCGAACGAGAAGCCAGACACAGATGATGCGGAAAATGCCCAACTAATGCAGAAATACCTCGGCGCCACGGATAGATACAGGCAGACAATGATGTACACAGCCACAATGCCGCCGACAGTCGAAAAGATTGCTAGGAAGTACCTCCGGCGTCCCGCCATCGTCACGATTGGCAACGCCGGTGAGGCCGTCGAGACGGTCGAGCAAAGGGTCGAATTCGTTTCGGGCGAGGACAAGAAGAAGAAACGGCTGCAGGAGATCCTTGGCGCGGGGGACTTTGCCCCGCCCATCATCGTGTTCGTCAACATCAAGCGCAATTGCGATGCCGTGGCGCGCGACGTCCAGAGAATGGGTTACTCGGCGGTCACGCTCCACGGAAGCAAGACGCAGGAGCAGAGAGAGGCGGCATTGGCCTCAGTGCGCAACGGGCAGACGCAGGTTCTTGTGGCGACGGACCTGGCAGGAAGAGGTATCGACGTGCCGGATGTCAGTCTCGTCATCAACTTCAACATGGCAACCAACATCGAAAGCTACACGCATCGCATCGGTCGTACTGGTCGCGCGGGCAAGAGCGGTGTGGCAATCACGTTCCTGGAACAGAGCGACTCGGACCTGTTCTACGACCTCAAGCAGATGCTTTCCAAGAGCGCCATCTCTCGGGTGCCCGAGGAGCTTCGGCGGCACGAGGCCGCGCAACAGAAGCCGCAGCGAGGAGGCGGCGGTGGCGGCGGCGGCAAGAGGGCAGGGGGTGCAGAAGAGGCGACAGGCAAGGGGGCCCAGTGGGGTGCCTAATGTAGTGTAGCGCTATGGATGACGGTAGCGTGGCGGGTGGATGAAGGATGGAAGGGCTCGCTAGTAACCATCAGATAGAGACGGAAAAGTGGGATATTCTGCGGGTTCTGCTAACTCGAAAGATTATCTTGATAATCTGATCAGATAAAAAATTAACATCCGAGCGATAATCGTCGGCACATCCGGTCTTGGCATCTCT